GTTCTTCACTTCTTTCTCTTGGGCGAAGAATTTCTCGGCCATGCTGAAAATAGCTTCGATCTTATCGGCAGGTACTCCGTGATCTTTGATGTAAAAGAACCCCACACGGGTGCAAGCATCCTTCAACTGGTCCAGAAGCTCTTTCTTGGGAGCCTTGAGGGAAATGAGCGGAATCTCGTCGAAGCTTGCGCTTCGAGCCGTGTCAGACTGTATTTCCCGTTGAACAGTTCCACTGAAGGAGACAAAATTCAGGTTTGCCATCTTGAAGGGTGAAGATAGACAACTCGAGAGGGAGAGCACGGTTGGTATATCTGCTAGCTTAGATAGAGTTATGTTGATCAGTGCTGTATTCGTAGATGTTGTTTTATCTTGCAGAGCTTTTTACTTAGTATAGTTAGATAGAGTGCTGAGAGGAAGTACCTTCGTATAACAATATTATAAATATGCCCACGTCCCCCCAGGCTCTAATTACTAAGTAGCCGGGCCAAGCCAAGTTGATGATAAGATACCAAGTCCAGGTGGGAATCACTAGCTTCGTGCCGCCGGCGGCCGGTGCCAACGGAATGCGTCGAATTCTGGCCGGCGGCCATCTTGAAGTGGGCAGTCTAGGCATGGGTAACCCATGACGAGGAAATGATAAGACAAACCTCCCCATACCTAAACAGGACTTGGCAACCTAACCAATTAGAGAGTCCCTGCCTTCAACCCCACAGATACGGAGAAGACCATTAGCATCTCATGGGCAAGTGTCTTGCTAGCAATGTGTTCTACCATCATTTCTGCTATCAGCAGTTAGTGGTTCATGAAATATATATAGACAGCCCTTCCGAAAGACATGAATACTTTTCCGTTACTTACAGATCGTCTGAGTTTTCGAGAGTCTCTTCATCCCTCATTCCATCTTCAAGTCAAGTCCTGCTTAGATGGAAGTGTTACGAGCAAGGGGTTCCGCTATCAAAGCGGACGCCACACGCAAAACCAGTCGCCATGGCTGGGTTCTTGAGAAACAGCCAATGACATTTGCAGACGAGCACTCTTGGAGTAACCGAGACACTGATGTCACCCCATTGGAGCGCCGCACTTGGACAAGCTGGACAGTGCTCGGGTACTGGATGAGCGATGCGTTGTCAGCTCAGAGCTGGGCTGGTGCGTCTGCAATTATCGCCGTTGGTTTGACATGGTACGTAACCTTGTTGCAACCCACGCGATATTCCGTTACCCGAACCCCCAATACTAACCTCCGAACTCTACGCACAGGCGAGAGGCTGTGTACTGTCTTATATTAGGTACTTTCACTGTGACCATCCCATTGTGCCTGAACGGCGCCGCCGGTGCGGAGCTTCATGCCCCGTTCCCCGTCATTGCACGCTCTGGATATGGATTCTATTTTAGTCGATTTGCTGTGGTTATCCGAATGGCAACCGCCCTCTTCTGGCACGGTATGCTCCATCTACCTACATTTCCATGGCTTTTTGGCAGCGTGTGGCTAATTCAACTCAGCCATTCAAACTTACTCCGGCTCAACTGCTATGACACAAGTCATAAGAGCTATTTGGCCATCTTATCTCAATATTCCCAATCATCTACCAGCATCGGCAGGGATAACCACTCAGCAGATGGTGTCTCACTTTCTGTTTTGGTCTGTTCAGTTCCCCATCCTCCTCATTCCGCCACACAAGCTTCGATGGTTCTTCGTTGCAAAGACAGTCATTGTCCTCACTGCTGCTGTGGGAACTGTTATCGGAATGAGCAGACTAGCAGGTGGCACAGGCGATATCTGGGACCAGCATCCCACAGTATCGGGATCTACTAAGGCTTGGCTTATTGTTTCCTCCATGAGTAGCATGACAGGCGGTTGGGCCACTATGGCTACTAATGTGGCTGACTTCACACGATACATGAAGAGGCCCAAGGGCGTCTATTGGCAGACATTATTTGTTCCGGGAATCTGCACGCTGCTTGGGGTACTTGGAATTATTAGTACTTCAGCAGCAAAGGTGGTTTATGGCGAGGTGAGTGTTTAATCTATTGGAAACCATCTAAAACATGATGAGATTAGTTTTCCTAACGATTCTAGTACATCTGGGACCCTCTCGAACTTGCCTCGCATTGGAATGGGCCCTCCGGGAGAGCTGCGGCGTTCTTTGTCGGCGTTTCATGGTGCGTCGCTCAAATTGGAACCAACCTGTCTGCCAACGTAATCTCCTGCGCCAACGATATGACCAGCTTGTGGCCCAAGTATATCAACATTAAACGCGGCGTCGTCATTACAACGGTTACGGCTGGCTGGATCATGGTGCCATGGAAAATCATTTCATCCGCCGCTTCTCTTCTTAACTTCATGGGGGCACTGGGTGTTTTTCTCGCCCCCATTGCTGCAATCCTTGCCTGTGACTACTGGGTAGTCAAACGGAGGGCAATCGACGTGCCTGCTTTATACCGCAAGAATGGTCGATACAGTTATGGCAACCGGGCGGGCACAAACTGGCGAGCTGTCTGTGCAATGTTGGTGGGAAGTGTTCCCAATTTGCCTGGTCTCGCGGCTGCTGTGAATCCGAGCCTGGATATCGGAGGCGCCAAGAATATCTTCGACATGTTCTACCTTTATGGCTTCACTAGCACGTTTCTCGTTTATGGTGCCCTGAGTTGGGCTTGGCCTGCTCACGAGACCTTGGTTGAAGCGACCTTGCACGAAGAGGTCATCATTGTAGATGGAATGGAGGTGACCAACGACGGGCTCCATGACACTCACATCGGTGCAAAGTCAATGCAGGCTGAAACCATTAAGGCATCCGGAGCCTAGCTCGAAACCAGTCGACGTAATCAGTGATAATCCTTTCGATTCATAATATACGAAGCTCAAGTAGAATGTCAGACTTCTGTCGGTCACTAACAGGGTTATTCTTCAAAGCATTAATACATATCCACTCTCAATTTAATGCAATATTATCATATAATTAATTGGTATTAGCTCGCTACTCACAAGTAATCACAGTTTTCTCTTCTCCAGGCCAGTGTATTACAAAGTATTCTTAATCTACGTACCCCTGATCAGACAAGCGTGAGGAATGTATTGTTGCGTAAATACAGAATTTACATGTCTATTTGATTATGAACGATTTAATTTTGATTTTTTGTTTGGTTTTGACTACCGCCAGTAAGTGGGAGCTTCCCCCCTGGCCCTGGCCCAGCCATTATCGAGAGCTTCTACTACAGGCTCTGGCAGAGGTCCCTTCTCGAGGGCCTCGACGTTCTGCACTAGCTGGTCATAAGAGCTAATGCCGATAATCACACCGTCATTGCCACCCTTGGAAGCTGGCTTCAGCTTGCTGTGGTGGATACACCAGCGTAGGCCGACCTCGATCAATGGAATGTTATGCTCCTTGGCGACGGGTTCGATAATGGCCAGGGCCTCCATCGTCGATTGCTTGAAATAGCGCTCCATGTAGAGCTTTCCGAGGTTGTTGGTGCTGCTGAACCGGCCCTCGGCGGGCTGCTCGAGAGTAGAATACTTTCCACTGAAGAGGCCAGCGGCGAGGGGGTTGTAAATTACGAGGTCAAGCCCGAACTTGCGCAGGCATGGCTCCAGCTCGGCCTCGACGGCCCGGGCTAGTTGTAGCTGTTAATATTCGTGCTCTGTTCGAGCTTTGGGGAGAGGCGGAAAGCCTGGTGTTAGACATACTGATTCCATTGTACATTGCCTGGTAGATCGTAGGCTTGACGAACCCGCTGCCATAAAAAATCAGATTCGATTGGCCTGTGAAGATACACTGTCTCATCACTTACCGACGCTCGCAGATGCCGACAATCTCCGCGACCTCCCAGGAGGCAAAGTTGCTCAAACCAAGCTGCTTGAACTTGCCCTCCTTGTGCAACTGGTCGCATCCCTCGAGGGTCAGCTCGTAATCCGTGGCGCGGTCTGGCGCGTGAAGATAGAAGATGTCGGCGGAAGTGACGCCCAGCTTCTGCAAGCTCACGTCCCAGGACGCTCGCAGCTTCTCCGGGGCGTGATCTCCAGGGTTGACGGGCATGCATTTGGACGCAATTTTAAAGCCACGCTCCTTGAAACCGGCCTCGCGGGTGAAGGCTTCCTGCTTGCCGGCGACGTAGAGGGCAGCGGTGTCGAGCTCGTTGTAGCCCTTGGAGGTGAGGAAGTCGAGGCACTTCTTGTACTCATCGAGAGAAGTGATGCGGGCGCCAGCGGCAGCATCGGGACCAATTGTCATGGTCCCTAGGATGAGGCGGTTCTTGGTAGCCATGGCGAATGCGGCGAACGGTTCAATGCGATCGAGACAGGGGTGTTTGGTACCGGCGATTCCAGGTTCTGGGATGTGGTCATGAGAATCACAGGATTCAGGGGGAGCGAAACCGCGTTCTTACATATCACCATCAAAACCGCGACCGATTACCCCTCCGCACTTGTTGCCGAGAGAGAGACAGCCATGTCGGACTACCCCCCGACAGGTTGTTCTCCACAGCAAATGAGGGGTTTGCGGTTGGGGACTCGAGAGAGAGGCTTGGAAAGATGGAGACGGAAACTTAGTCCCGGTTGCTGATCGTCACCTGAGTCAAGCAACTCACAAGGGTCACACTGACAAACTCGTCTCGAGATTTAGTCCCATTTCTCGCTCCATGCTATGATTGGCGTAGCAACTGGCGTCTCTACTCTCATACCCCATGTACCCATGCCTTATACCCGGATCGTTTTATGCCTATTGCTACGGCTTACGGCTTTTGCCCGAGTTCGGCAAAAGAAGCATGGCAGAATCCAAGCGAGGCAAATACTTAGGAAACTTGTGAAATTAATTAGTTGATAAAACGATAATGCTTGATACCATGGCGTACAAGTGAGCGACTTTCTTCGAAACACTTTTCCGCGATTTCCCCAAGGCCTCAACTGCATTGTCCTCTCGTTTGTATTGTTCATCGATTCGTAATATCGGTAGGCGATCAATCAAAGAGACCTTTTCCCAGTCACGAGGACCAATCCACAGCACAGAATGAGTGAACAGCAAGGGTCGCTAGGTTTTGCAGGCCTTGGGGCCATGGGTTTTGGCACGGCCTCAAACCTTCTGAAAGCTGGCTTTCAAGTCAATGGCTTCGATGTTAACCCAACTGCCTTGGCTAACTTCAAAGAGCTTGGTGGTTCTACGTCTACAACCGCCGGTGAGGCTGGTGCTGGCCAAAGCTTGTTCCTAATCATGGTCGCAACGCCTGCACAGGTTGATTCTGTCATCTTTGGAGCCGATGGGATTTTGAACACTCTGTCCGTGGGAGGTGTGATCTGCTTGTTGAGCACCCTTCCCCCAGTCTACGTCTTGAACTTGTGCGTTCGACTGCGTGCCGCCGGAAGGCCAGATATTAAGCTTGTGGATTGCCCGGTATCAGGCGGTGTTGTTGGCGCGAATGCGGGCAAGCTAACTGCAAGTTGTTTCGCTCTGGAGAGATATATAGATTTTTTCTAACGCAGCTCATAGATCATGTTGGGCGGAAGCCAAGAAGATTTGGATCAGGTCGACCCTGCACTCCAGGCAATTTCTTCCCCTGGTAGACTCTTTAGGTGCGGCCCTTTGGGATCGGCCAGCATTGTCAAAATGTAAGACAAACATAGAAACAAACAAGAACAAATCAACTCTGACTTGAAATCTCAGGCTTAATCAACACCTTGCAGGAGTGCATATTGTGGCTGCTGCCGAGGTCATTGCCTTCGCCAAGGCTCTTGGTCTCTCCTCTAGGGAGGCATACGGTATTCTGACCAAGAGCGAAGCTACGAGCTGGATCATGGGCGACCGAGGTGTTTCAATGCTGAATGCCGACTGGTCTCCCAAGTCTGCCGTCAGCATCTTTACCAAAGACCTAGTATGCTTTATAACCCCCCACATCCCTTCTAACGTCTCTAATATATGTTGAAATGGCAGGGAATCGTCAACGACACCGCCGATCAATTGTCTGTACCTTGCCCCATTGCTTCTGTTGCGAGAGATGCCTTTCTTGAGCGCGCTGGTCGTGGTTTCGGCCGAGACGACGATGCTAGTGTTGTATGTAATTACGAAGCCATCACTGGAAAGCCCGTCGCTGAGCCCAAGGGCCAAGCCTCTCTACCCTCGCCTCCTTCAGAGAGCCACGGCGATGTCAAGGTGATTTTCCTCATCAAAGATAGTGATAACGAACTCCTCAGCCTTTCTACTGCCGCTGAAAACAAAGGACTCATCCACATTTCGGAGAGCTCGAATGATCTGGATACGAGGCTTCGCGAGCTACCTCAGGGAAGTATTGTCGGGGTTTCTGGCATTGATAGCGAATTATTGGAGAAAATCAAGACAAAGCACGCTCAGCTACAGGTTTTTGACTACCAAACCTACCAAGCGTCAGATTCTTCAGATCTTCAGGTAATATTCATCCTTCGTGTGAATGTTGAGCCTCTGCTAACATAATTGTAGGTAATCTTTAGCGCGGAGAATGAGAACGTTGTCTCAGCGATTAAAGAAGTCCTCCCCCGGCAGGTCAGCCCAACCAGAATTTCTGGTCCCGTAGGATCAGCATCGTCTATGTGGCTCGCCATCCGCCTCGGTTCACTAGTTCATCTCGTGGCAGCCGCTGAAGCCTTTAGCCTGGCCATTGCCAAAGGGGTCTCAACAGAGCTTATCTACAACTTGATCTCTGGGGCTGCGGGCTCTAGCGACCAGTTTAATCAAGAGTTCCCCAAGATGATGAAACGGGACTTCTCAATAACATCAAACGTCAATTCCACGTTTACGAATGTGATGAAAGACCTGGTACGTGCTTAACAGTGGAATCTCCGTCAATAGCAAACTAACATTGTTCTCTATAGGCCATTCTTCAAAAGACAATGAATAAGATCAATTACCCAGGTCGCTTATTTGGAGCTGCTTATCAGACTTTCAAGAGTGTCAACCGCACATTAGAGGACAAGGAAACTTCCGCGGTGGCAGTGGTCGATTTTTGGACACCGAAATCGCCCGCCTCATAAGACTCAATATGTTATTATTTTTGTTTTCTTGTTAAGTTATTGCCACATTACATTTGGGTTAGGACTCGTAAATCTTATCGAAGATTCCAATGTTGGAATCTATTTTTCGAGTTATGTTCAGATAGAGAATAAGACTTGCCCATTGAATTGACGATAACCATATCATATGATTTTCATTCTCTTGTTACTTTTGTGTCTTCAAGTTGGAAACTTCTTACTTCAAAATCCCCCACAGAGTTTCGGAGTTTCAGTCTATCGAGCTGCTTATCTCCCTCCACCGGCATTCCCCTTCCAGTTTCAGTTTTCTCTGCTGTGTCGTAACTTAGCCTCACCATCTCTCACGCTCCACATCTGAAAACCCTCAGTTGATTTTCCACGCTTCCTTGGCCGCAGCCAATGATATCAACTACAGGCATGACTTCTTTCCCCAGCAATATATGCCCAGTTTAATCGTACACCATGTATGCATTCATCTAGTGTATCAATGATGACATATCTGATATTCATGAAATTGTACTAGCTGCGAGATTTCAAAAGATAACACGCCATGATCTGCATCTAGGTACACGAGGACAAACGAATAGGCTTTTTGCTGTATAATTTCTTCTTTATTTCTCTCCAGTCACTAAAAAACTTCCATTTCAGCGGCCCAGAGATTTTTCAAATCATTCGAGAGCACCCCTGTCTTCCTGCCACTCGACCGCTGGCATTGGTCAATTAGATCTAGGGTCTGCTGCCTTTCCTTCACGCCTTTGGTCACGAGGCCCGCAATGTATAAACACTGTGAAGAGACAAGGCTCCATGCGTCAGGTATTCCAGCATTAGCCGTCGAGAATATCTGCCGCCGATGCCACTCGATACGACGTTGTGTGGAGAGGAACGCCGAGTTGGCCAAGCCGCGCAGTGCGGCTGAAGCTGTCTCTTGGCGACGGTTCAGCGCGAGTATGATCTTGCTTGCGTTGTAGACCTGATTCGCCACGGCTGAAAGTTTCCAAGGTCTTCGTTAGTTTCACTCATCGGGGTCCACCGGAGGAGGAGCAAAGAAAGGAACTATTAATATAAGGGTCTAGACTTGGGGAAACGTACCACTATGGGGGAAGACAAACCACATGGCCTCGAAGTGGTTGGAACCCATAGGACCGGCCTCGGGCTTCTCCGTCGAGAACCATGCCATACTCGAAGGTAATTTCCCCTTCCAGTCATCTAGTGCCTGATCCAGCTCCGCAGCCTTGGCTTCCCTTAGCTTTCCATCAGTGTCGTCGTTGCAATAGTTGATGCACTGGCCAAAGATGAAAATGACTCGGTTGGCGACGTCTTCTGGGGTCAGGTGGCTGAAACTAGCGATAGACTCAGGCGCCCAGTATGTCTCGTCAATCGACATTTGGCGGCCTGTGCGGAGAGCTGCCCACGTTTCGTGCCGATACCAGGTCCAGTAACATGCTCCACGGATCCCGGCCACGTTGCCATGTACTTGGCGAGTTCGCAAAAGGGACGCAACACCGGTGAGATGCGAGCCGAGGGACTCTCCAACTACGTCAATCATCTCATAACTAGAATGTGGCAAGATCTTCCTAGTTAGTTTGGGGTAGCCTGACATTGGAAGGAGACCGTGTGGAGAATCAGATGGTGAGAATGGGGTCTTACGTAGATAATAGAATACAAGCCGCTAGCATCTCGTCACTCTGTGCATATTCTGGATGCAGCAGCAGGGTGCGGATAGCTGAAAGTGCCAGCCGGTAGTAACGTAACGATTCACTCTCCGAAACGATATACGGGGACGTCGTCCCCACAAGATCCATTTGCTTAGACGCCAGGGCGAGGCAGGCATGGAGCAGCGACGGGCATCGCAAGGCTAAGATGGGAACTAGCCGATGGAACGGCTGGTCACTGGAAAAGGAGTCAACCTGATAACCGAGGAAATAGGAAATAACATCCTCGCGTTAGCCAAGACCCAAAAACTAGAGATGTGGATATCAAAACCCAACAAGAATAATATCAGATCAGGGGGAGGTGTACTTACCCACTTGCTGATATTCTCTACGTAATTTCGGAAGATTGGAACCTCGTGAGTCGATAATTGTATCTGATAGTCGACCCGAAGCTCAATATTTGACGGTGTATGTATCTCGCTAATGTGGCCTTGATGTACTGGTTGATCCAATCCTGAGTCAGCAGGCTGATAGAGCTGTTGCAGGACATCATCTCCATGTTCGGGAAAAAACTCAGCATCGAGTAAGATGGACCCCAAAGTAGCAGAGAAGGGAGAAACAGCCGTCAAATCTTGAGGGTTGGTGAAAGATGCAGAGATGATAGGGTCGTCCTGATCATCACTGAAGGGGACGAGATGGGACAGATCACTTCCGCTAGGATGAGGATGGGGACCCGGTACATGAGTGGGTGTTGGTTCGCGTATGGGAACGCGTTGGCCTCTGAGCTCATGTACAGATACTGGTGATGACTGCGAGGGCTGTGTTTGTGCTACTGCTTGCGCTTGGGGTTCCAGGGCTGAGGTTTGGGTCTGACTCGGGCCTTTGTTCCGGCTCCGGGTTTGGCTTTGGATTTCCTTGTCGGTTGCTATTCGTCTCGGCTGCTGGTCCCCGGAGGATTCATAACGACAAATCCGGCTTTTCTTCCCACAATCGACACAGCTTGGCTTGCGCTCATCACACTTGACATGACGGTGGCGGCATGTGAGACAACCAGTATTGACCCTCAACTTGCGGCGAGCTTTGAGACCTCGGCGCGAGGAAAACTCTTGGGGCGCAGCTAGCGGAACAGAGACTTCGGCCATCGATGGCGTGGAGGTATTGCTTGTTCCAGGGACAGGGTTCTGGGCTAGAGCCGAGTGTGCGGGCCAAGTTCTTCGAGTCGAAACGAAACAGCGGTGCGGGCTGATTAAAAGCACTCTCCCCATGCCATGTCATTCATGTCATGCAGAGGTTGAGTCAAGATCAAGGGGTGGCTGCAGGGTTGAGCAAAACTCGTGACGAGTTTCCCAACCTCAAGGGAATGCGGGGAAGTTGTGGGGAGTCTCGGCCCACCAATCCATCTGCTTGGTCCATCTCCTTGGAGACTTGGGGACTCGTCTGGGGTTGTCGAGAAACCCATGACTAGCGCACCGCCATGGGCAAAGCGTGACAACATACATGGGTGGCCTTCTCGGCTCAACTCCTCGGCATCTCACAAAGACTTCAAATAATGCCCTTGGGACGCATCAAGCGTCGATCAATTTGTCCATCCAGTCGTCGCTTCATAATCAGTCCAGTCCTGCGTCTGAGTCTTGACGACGAGTTCAGCAACATCCTATTTTCTCCGATCTCGGCCTTCCATCTGGATTCTGGAACACCCATTCGAGTTTTCATTAATCGGCAAATATGCTGGAGAAGGAAAAGATCGAGTCCGTTGAGGACCAGCTGGAGACTGCGGCCTCGGATGACAACAATGAGCTCATTCAATATGACGAGAAAGAGACAAAGGCCATTCTTCGAAAGGTCGACTGGCGATTGATTCCGATGTTGACCCTCCTTTATGTCCTGTCTTTCATTGACAGAAGCAACAGTACGTCTTGAACGCAATTGGACCTGACTATTTCCATGATTAACTAAATCCATTCGTCTAGTCGGTAATGCCAAGGTCGCTGGCATGAATACGGATTTGGGTCTTACGGGCAGTCAATACAATATCGCGTAAGACGATCCCAAGCCCTCTCGAAGTAGCTACGGTGAATCCCCTTGGCTAATAATCCGCCAGCCTGACCGTCTTCTTTTTTCCCTATGCTCTTCTTGAGATCCCCAGCAACATGGTTCTCAAGGTCGTCCGACCTTCTATCTGGATTGGCGCTATGATGCTCGCCTGGGGCACAGTCATGACTCTGATGGGAATTGTCAAGGACTTCCATGGTCTTGCTGGTGCTCGAGCTGCTGTAAGCCAACCCCATCAACCCCAACGAGAAAGGCAGCGGAACTGACAATGATGACACCTCAAGCTCGGGGCCGCAGAAGCTGGCTTCTTCCCGGCCAGTACCTATCTTCTGACCATCTGGTACAAGCGTCTAGAGCTTCAAGGGCGTATGGCCGTCTTCTATAGTGAGTACAGACAGGTCTTCTCTATGTTTTGATGATGATTAACCCCATAGTAGGTGCTGCTTCCATGTCTGGTGCCTTTTCCGGTCTTCTGGCATTTGGGTTGCAGCAGATGGATGGAATTGCCAATCTTGCGGGCTGGCGGTGGATTTTCCTCATCGAGGGTATCGCCACCGTTGTCGTGGGCAGCACGTGCTTTTTCTTATTGCCCGATAGCCCAGAGACTGCCTCATTCCTCAAGCCTGAAGAGCGAAAGTTTCTATGCCAACGACTGCGGCACGATGCTGGTACAAAGAGCGGGAAAGTCGATCTCCAGGATAAGTTTCACTGGCCTACCATCATCGCCGCCTTTACCGACTGGAAGATCTGGCTCGCAGTCATTATCTATTGGGTATGGATTCCTCTGTTGACTATTCTGTATACTCGACACAACTAACTTGGCGCGTTACCCAGGGTAGCACTATCTCCATCTACGGTTTCACCTACACTGCTCCCAGTGTCATCCTTGGTCTCGGTTACTCTGCCGCGAACGCTCAGCTTCTCACCATTCCCATCTACGCCCTTGGTGTGATTGGAACCCCGCTCATTGCCTTCTACGCCGACAAGCACCAAACCCGTTGGCCCTTCATCGTCGGTCCTTACTGTATCTCCGCCATCGGCTTCCTCGGTCTCCTTTCCATCCCCCACCCCCGTCTGCCCGGTCTCACCTATGCCTTCCTCTTCTGCATCCCGGTTGGTGTCTACCCCCCTCTCATTGGTCTCGTTGCTTGGGTGGGTAACAATCTGGCGCCGTCATGGAAGCGAGCCGTCGGTATGGCTCTCCTCATTTGCATGGGTAACTTTGGTGGCGCCATCGGTTCCAACATCTATCTGGAGAACCAGAAGCCCAACTACTGGCTCGGTTTCGGGTTCGGTCTGGGTATTTCGGTCGCTGCTATCATCGCCACTGTTGTTCTCAAGTTTGAGTATCAGCGTCTCAACCGCCGAAAGGAGGCCGAGGGCACGGAGGAGGAGGTTCGCGCCAAGTACGGTGACGAGGAGTTGACCCAGATGGGAGACAAGAGCCCTCTCTTCAAGTATATTGTCTAGGAGATTAACTCTTCTAGAGTGTCCCTCTATTGGTCTGTTGGAGATATTATGCGCAGGGAACACACAAGAGTGATGATCTTGTTCAATCTACCACAAGGGGGACATCTAAATGTTTGCAGTAGAATACTGTCCTAGTTCTACAGCCTTTTTCTTTGTATAAGAGGGTGATGAATGCAACATACATCATATTTTCTTGAATTGTTATGTTAAGGTACTAGCTTCACTACGAATGTAATGCTACCGGAAGTGTTGTCAACTCGCTGTCACTGCTTGATTGAAAGAGAGGACAGTGTGTTCTAGCGTATCTGATTACGAAAAGCTGGGGATCTTTGGCTACTTGTGTTTATATACATGCCCTGCACAGCAATTTTAATGTCACCTGAAGGCTTGTCAAAGAAAATGGTGGGTTACGTGTGGCGCAAATAGACCATCTAACAGTGCCTATCATGACTCAAAAGAGTATTATGACTCGACGCGGAGTGTGTAGGTGTGGCTGTGTATTGTCTAAACGCCGGAGGATCCGATAATCCAACGTGATACTTGCATTATGCTGCTATGCAGTGTGACGGTCCTCTTCTCAGTCCAATTCGCAGTTCTTCCCGGGATGTATGCCTTCCTCTGATCATGTATCTCGCATCTTCTGCAAGTGTGTCTTAATTCTAAGCAATCCATCTTCATTCACCGACCGGAATTCGCTTCCAGCCAACAATTATGTTCAGTAATAATAGTAACGACGAGGGCCATCAATAAGGTCAAGTGCATTTTGCTGTCCCTGAAGCTCCAACTGCTTCTGGGCCTTGTGGGCATTGATCCTTGTCTGAGCTGCGCTGCGACACCGCACAGAAGACTCGTCAATGCGACGCTGGAGCTCGGGCGGGCACCTTGCCAGAAAGACGTGGCGCGGTATGGTACCCTTCTCAGGCCAGATACCGTAGTGACGCAAGGCATGGTTCAGCCCGCTCAGGTGCTGATCAATGTCGGCGCAGAACTCAACCGACATAAAGTCAGCGAATCCCTCCAAACTCAGCAAGGGCATTCCGCCGTACGGAAGCTGCTTCGCTCGTGGATTTCGCACCACTACCTTGTGGTCGAAGTAGAATCCCTCAAGAGCAGCTTTTAGTTCGAAGTCGGCCGTGTCGTCCGCCGAGAACATTAGGTTGCCCTTGTGACTTCTTTTCCCTGCAAATGATGTAAGTTTCAGGATGCGCACCTGATGCGAGGCGGGGCAACAACGTACAGACATTATCGTCAACGCGGAAATGGCAGGCATCTAAGAAGCTGGAGAAGGCTTCTGGTGTGATATAACCAGTCCCTTGTGGGTCAAGCTTGGAGAAGAACTCCTTCATCAGGCTATTGAAGAAAGGCGTCCCGTTCCCATTCGAGTAAAACATGTGCTCGTTCCATTGCGAAGCGGGAGCGGCAGGCTGTTGGGGCGGTGACGGGAACCCAGCCGGCGCCCTCGAATACGCAGTCCTTGCCTGCTGGTTCTGCTGATATTGGTGCTGTTGCTGCTGTTGCTGCTGTTGCTGCTGCTGTTGTTGCTGATAAATATAACCAGGTGGTGGCCCCGGGGGAGGCTCGTACTCTTCGTAGTATGGCCCAGACATTTTTTGGCGCTGGAATTATATCGTCGATCTCGGTGCGAGAACGGCTGCTGAATTCAACCAGAAGTATTTAGATTGATGAGAAGGAAGCGGCTTGACTCTCAGACAAGTGAGGGGCTTGACTTCTCTCAATAGATTCATTCCCATCAAGCCGCCTAGACTTAGAAAGGTCGAAGCTAAGGCCTACCTCGTATTAGTTCTATGGAGAAATGGGCCAGTCTAGAGCACGATCTATCGAAGTGGCAAACCAAGGGTGGGCTTGTGGGGACGGTCTTTGAATACAAGGTGAAAAGATGTAGTTGGTCATCTCTTGCCAACTTGTAGCAGGAAGCGATCAAACAAGCTTAATCCGAAACGACTTGGGGAAGCGTAAAATCATCCCACTTTTAAAGCCTCTATGGCTTGGTTGCTTATCGGAGTTCTGTTCCAATTATAGGGCGGGGCTCTTACAAAGGAGCTGCGAAGCCCTTGTTGCTTGTTTCATGATGGGCACTCTGATCGTATTCAAAAAGGCAATACACCAATTTCAGCTAATTCTGTTGTTATCGGCTAGAGAAAATATTCTACCCCTATTATAACATCGCGACAAGTTTCGTCAATTTGTTTTCGTGCTAGGGGTGAGTATATCCGTATTTGCCTTCATCCTTGTCTTCAGCAATCCTCATGTATGTAAACTCAACCCCCATACAGTCATTGGATTTTATTCATTTGCAGTAAGCAATTCTAACCAGAACCTCAGAGCCGCTTACGACTCTAGAACTGAATTAGAGCCTAGACTCCCCATCGAGCAAGCCTTTCTTGTCCTGCATCGGTGAACATCAACTTCCCGTTGATGTATCCGACAACCCAGACGAAAGGATACCTTGCATGCCACCACCAGAAATTTTCAGCGGCTCCGAACCAGCCAAACACCAGGTCCAAGTTGTAACAGAGATTGTTGCAGGTTCCTAGCACCAACACGCTAAGAATTGCCAGGAAATGGACCGCTTTATTACCGTAGATGCTGTCAACCAGAAAGCAGTTGACAAGTCCTGACAGGGCGCCAGACATCCCCAAAGGGCAGAAGACGAGCGTCCACATCACTTTCGGGAACATGTCGCGTAGTCCAGAGAACACAGCGATGCTCACCGCAAGCATCGTCACCTCAAAGATAAAAGTGGCAATCCAGAAGAGGACAAATGGCCTCAGATATATATGACGACGTTTTTCGGCTTGAGAAGCATCTCCCTCTGGAGTGACCATGACTTGATATGCCATATTTATTTTAGGTCTTGATGAACTTGTGTTTTGATATTTAAAAATGGTGTTCACAGTTCTGTTCCAGGAGTCGCTTGGGGCTCGTTGATATATCTTTGCATTTGTGAGTTGCCAAGCGAGTTGCAGATGGATCAAGGAACGAAAAAGGGGTGTTTCTGGAAAAAGATTGATTTTTCCACCCAAGAAGCTGAGAAAGAGGCGAATATATAGACAGGAATTTGTCGTAACTAGATATCTCTCTATAGAGGCGGTACATTAATCCTCGGTATTGTTTCGTTACATCAGGGAAGCAAGGGATGAAGAAGTCAATTCCGAACACCGTCTGCGTAAGTTTAATCCACCACTTATATGTGTCTGTTATACGAGTTGACGGAGCAATTACATAAAGCTGTCCGATCACTCCAAATAGGGTCGTAATCCATTGTGACGGCGAATCTTGTCATTATTCGCTGGGCCTGGAGGAGTATGGGTCTTGAGAGTGTCGAGCCTCGGCTGGGAACGAACTCTCCACCACTGATACCTAGGTAGTTACTTAGTAGAATTGAGGGTAAATCATGCCACCTCACGTTAGATCAGGAAGCTAGCATATGAAGTGAGTCCTGATCTTTGATGAAATGGACGGCATTCGTGAAATCATATTTTAGCTGAGGTGACTTCTTGTTTAGTATCTGGTGGCTACCAAAGCCCCCCTGCATGAGAAGAGCCTCGGTATTTTCGTTTGTCTCTGTAAACATATTTCCACTACCTTCAATCCAAATCCCTCCCGTTTGATATCCTATCCAACATACCTAGGCACAAGTATGTGTACTAACGCATTGGGTAATAGTCACAGCGTTATCTGGGTGCAGGGTAGGTGAATGGACGGGATCCGGTTCTTATCATCCGGCTCAGTTCAGAGATGAGATTGGGTTTCTGTTCTGTGGGGTAATGACATCGCATGTGACAGAAATGGCATAGATAACTTCGGCCTGGCTAATGAGAGGAACCGAGAGATAAGCATTCCCCACCAGAAGGGCGGAATCGATCAAAAAGCCGGATGTCTGCCATCTACGATCTTTATCCGGTCGCGATCTCTTCAATCCATGCTCCAACATCCGCACATTTAATGGAGCCTCTCGGAGTGACAAAAGGGAGGCGGCGTCGTCTCGTAGTCGATGCTGACCGCAAACGAGTCGCTCGAGCGTGCGTAACCCCCATTGTTGAACCCGCGGCTGTGATAACTGACTTGTGCTCAATAGTTGCGACACCTGTCGCCAGCAAAAGGAGAAATGCGACGGACATCAACCTTGTCGGCGGTGTTCTCGCATACGACGGCCATGTGTTTTCTCCGGAAAAGACCGGAATGTTAGGCAACTAGACGAAGCTCCGTCCAGGAAGTCGCCTGAAGCAAGCATAACGTGTGTTTCCTTTCATTCTGTAACCCGTCAACCGAAATCCCTATTCTCCATTTTTCTGACGCGTGGTTGAAGAGTGAGACCCATGGCAACTGCGAGTGACCGAAACGTTTCACAACGGCAGAGGGTTGCATATCTGGAAAGGATTGTACGACAATACGTGGGAGACGTTGACTTGAACTTGGAATCTCTCAAAGCTCTGTCACAAACCCCAGAAACAGACCAAAAGCATGAGGTTTCCATGGCCCAGGCAGACGACTGCGAATCCTCTGTCTCCGAGACCTCCGTGGGCGTGAACGAAACGTGCGACATTCTTCCATTAGAGAACGGGAACATAGCTCGTAAGTCAGAGTTGGGCTCAATATTGACACAAACTAACATAAATGATAGACTACTCGGGGGAGTTCTCACATTGGAATTTCTCGCAGAGGATCAGGAAATATATGGACATTTTACCCAAAGAGGTACTCACCACCCAACAGTATTTCACATGCACGGAAATACTAACGCGTGCTGCAGCAAACCCAAGACTCGGTGTCAAGCTGGAAAGACTTTTATCGCACCGACGAGTTACAAAGCCCGACCGCAGCAACGACAGCCTTATCCTCTTTGCCGCCGCGGCTCATTGCTAACTTTCTCCTTCGCTGTTTCTTGAAGCATGCCCAGACAAATTACTTTTATGTCGAGGAGACTTGGGTAGAAGACAAGCTCGAGTTATGCTACACCAAACCGGACGTGCTAAGCCGTGGTGATGTTGGTATCGTGTGCATTCTCTTCGCAATCCTTGCGATCGGGACACAGTACGCCTACATCGAATCTGATCGAGAAGATAACGGATACACGGGTCCTGATACAGACATTTCTTCATTCACAGAAGATGCAGTTGGCGTCATGTTTTACCAGCAGGCTTCTCGGCTGCTGCCAGAAGTCCTTGCCCTGGGTTCGTTGGAGTGTGTCCAGGCATGTTTGCTGATTGCCGTCTATCTGCTTCCGATCGATGCAGCTGGATTATCATACTCGTATCTGAATATTGCCATCAATGTTTCTATTCAAAACGGCATGCATCGGCGATACTCGAGAGACGATTTGGATACTAGGGTACGCGAAATCCGTAACCGCGTATGGTGGACCACATACACTATAGAACGGTATGTAGCCTGAGGTTTAGGCGTTTTTCTTCATTCCATGTTGGCTCCCTGGGACTTTCACTAATACCAAGTTTCGTGATAGACGGATTTCAATCTTTCATGGACGACCCATGTCGATCAGACCTGTCGATGTTGATGCCGACATGCCATCTGAACAGAGTCACATATGCCCGTGGACGACAATCACGGTACCTTGTATTCTCGCTACTCTACGTCTGAATGAATTCCTAAGAAAAGTGTGGAACGAAATGTACGTATTCGGCCTTGAAAGAACTAGGTTAATGCGCTTATGCTAACGAACACGTCCAGCGATCTTTTGAAGGGTGCACCCAAACACAAAGCGATCATGCGCAGGCTGACTAGTCTACACGGTGACCTCGTCGCGTGGTGGTCGGATCTGTCCACCGATCTTCTCCTACAAGAAGAGTCCTCGCAACCAGAACGATACAGCCTTCAGTTGAAGCTTGAGTATTGCCTTGTACGGATGTTCTGTGGCCGCTGTTTTATCTTCCAACATGACGCTACAGGGGCAACACCAGAGCAACACAGCGCGATATCCCCATCCGCCGCCTCTGATGTTACCCACCCCCGTTCGGTTCTCGTGCGGGACTGTGTCAAGGCTGCGTTTGAAGCGATTGAGACCTGTCGACATATTCACAATACTATCGGCCTCGCTCGCGCATCCTATACGGAATTTAGCTCATGCCGCGCGGCCTTGTTGATCATTACGACCCAATGTCTTCAAACGAAATGCCATACGTTTCGTTACGCACTCCGAGACGGTCTCTCAATGCTGAAGCACATGGCATCGGGCAGCAGACTGGCACACGTGGAAGCGTCATTGGTGGATCGTTTTGAGCAAGTGATTGCTAGGCTTGACCAGGCCGCTACCATGGACAAGAAAGGGCCGTCAGACTACGACAAGTTCAAGGAGTGGGAGACGGAATGGAGAACTGACTCGGTGTTTGTGTCAACCGATTCACCCCGAGTCTTTCAGGGACTATCAGCAGATAAGGGGGCGGTCTTGATCGACCAGATTAGCCCGGACCAGAGTGACGAGCTTGGTTCCTCGTCCGAGCCCCAGCTTTACGCGAGTGGGGATGTGGCATTTTTTCCCGAGGGGCCTGACGACTGGACGACTTTCTTTGGGGCCGATTTTCTAATGCAATTGGATGATGGGATTCGTGGCAATAGACGAGACTGATATTAGTTATTTACTAGTTGTAACTGAACCCACAATAATCGTTGCTATGAAATTACGCAATGGTGAAGGGTTATTTGACAAGTTTCGGGCTCTTATTCTGGATTGAATTCTTGTAATTGTAATTTGTAGCGCCCTATATCAAAGTAAGACGTCTACTTCTCTCAATCCAGATGGTGGTTAAGAACGTCCGGGGACAACCTATCTTCTGGATCAATAGCAAAAGTAAGACGGAGTTGTGTTCTTGTATGAAAATGACTGTCATTCCTGGAGTATTGGAGAATATTTGAACAGAACATATGCCAAACTACCTCGCTATACTTCCTGTATCTCGCTGCTCTCCTTCTATTCTCTCGCGGCCGCCTCTTCCGGCTTCTTCCCATGGGCCTGCAAGTCCATCCAGCCCATACCAAAGCACAAGAAGAACGAGACAACGCTCACGGCCACGAAGAGATACATGATATTGTCAAAGCTATCCGAAAACGCTCGCAGAACATTTCCAAGAAGAGCATCGCCACCCTGCGCCGCCAGTTGACGCACTGCGTCGGCACTTCCACCAGCCGCCACTGCTGCTTCAGGAGAGACTTCTGGGGCATACAGAAGAATCTTGGACTTCAAGCTTTCCTGGAAAATGGTATTGCCGAGCGTCACAACTACTGCACCCAGGATATTTTGCGAAAATACGAGGAACGACATTCCGAGAGCTATCTCATTTGCTGGCAGTGTGAGCTGGACCGCTAGAAATGCCTATTTAAGTAAGCTAGAATGTATATGAGATAGATTCCTAATATTGTATGTCACTCACAATCTGAATAGCTGCTCCTCTTGCAGCGTATGGCACCTGGTGCCCAAATAGCTCACCAAGTGTCGAGTCCGGTGTCCACGTAGATACAAGTCCGCATCCGAGAGCAGTCCCGGCTGCTGCGAAGGCTGCCCACGGAATATAAAATCGAAATTTAGTCACTAGAGATTATGTCGTTAGGATCCCGTTTCAAAAAAGCAGGCATGAACCATTGGCGAACGAACTTAGGGCTCCCGATAGGAGAAGAAAGAAAATTTGACTCAAAATACTGGGCAGTAAGTAGAGGGCGCTCGTCAGAGGCGCTTGACCTTTGACAGACTGAAAGTAGATGGGGAGGAAGTTACCTCCCCCAACCGACACACTCATAAGGAGACCATAAAACAGGGAACTTGTCCAGACAATGCGTCGTGAGATCATCTGAAACGGCATCATGGCATCCTTACCCATGCGCCGCTCCCAGAGAAGAAACAGAATGGCTGTGACGCCGGCTCCGCAAAAGCATCCGATTACTGTTGCTGAGTTCCAAGAATAGTCGCTTGAGCCGAATTGGAGAGCGAGGAGGAGCATGATCGCTGCCGGCGCGAAGAGCGCGAACCCAATGAGGTCGAATTTGGGAAGCATCTCCCGAAGGTGCTGAGGGGTTATTGGCTCTTTCGCGATGTGATCAGGGATATGGAGGAAGACGAGGAATGCAGCGACAAGACCACCGAGTGGCAGATTCACGTAAAAGCCTGCACTCTCAGCCATGTTAGAACGGGGCAAGGGGCAGTGTCTTCGGCAACGTGCGTGACTACTTACACCATCGCCAAGTGGCATGCTCGGTGAAAACTCCACCTAGAATGGGCCCAAGGATAACACCGATCTGTCCGACTGTATCAAATTGTCAGTAAGATTGCTACTGTTTCTTTGCTTGTGCCAATTGAACACAATACGAACCTGCCATTGTGAGACTTGTATACACTGTTGAGAATGTCAGTATACTAGCCCAAGTCGATGAAACAGCGTTTGAGTGAAACCAACAGGGCCTTTTCTCTGGAGATACTGCTCCGGAGAGAACCGTTAGAGAGCCGTTGGCAAGACCAGAGCAACCTAGTCCTGCAATCGAACGGCCAATAATGAACATGATGGAATTTTGGGCCGCACCGCAAATTGCGGAGCCCACTTCGAAGACGAAAAAGAAGAACAATAGTGACCACTAGTCATCAGACAGTCAAATCATGTTCCGAAGATAAGATGGGCTTGCATCCCTACCTTCGTGCTGAAGTACGTGTAAGCCTTGCCGGTGAGAGGTTGCACGGTAGCGCTTGCTAGCTGGACATCATTCAGCAGGTCCCCTTTCAAGGAGGTTGGCTCTACTTACCTGGTAGGCTCCGACGTACCAACCTACATCCTGAAGTCTGTGAAAGTCACTAGATATCTGGGGAATGGCCTTCAGGATGATCTATTAGCAGAGACTAGAAGACAGATAAGAGATATATCAGACGTACAGTACCAATAATGGCCATATCTAGCATGGCAAGGAACATGACGACTGTGAGTCCCCCCATCAGAATGAGGAGCTTTAATCCTGCAAGATATGGGCTCGGATCGTGTTTGACCTCAGATACATCAGGTGTGGCCGCTTTCTCTTTTTCGGACAGGGGGCATTGTGCTGTACTGCCAGCATCCGCTCCCCCCTTGGGAGGTTTGCTATCGGCCATCTTTGTATGGTATAGGATCACGGTGGAGGAAAACACGGGGTATATGTGCTGAACACACCGAAGATGCATTTACATCAGAGAGACTGTAGTTTTATGCGCAAAAGCCTGGGAGGAAAGCCACACTTGGGCCGTGTCCCTATTTTGATTATCATGGTGGAGTCTGTGGAGGATTCGCCGCGGGCTGGAGCAATTCAAATCCCGCGGCCGTTAGTCCACGTCGTGGCTGGGTCTGTATAGCCCATAAAAGGCCAAGTAGTCGGGATGATACGCAAACATTGGTCCGTTTAGAGACTCGAGCTATACGAATTGCCAGGGTTGATTGGAACTTCCTCCACTGGCACCACGAATCGACTGATCCGGGGATCAAATGTCCGGCTGTGACCCATCGCCCATCAAGGTGTGACTGTCCATATTTTCTTTATCAATCAGTTGCCTCCACTAATTACCCGCCTCAGTCATTCGTAAACGCTCCCATGCTCGCTAACAATGTACTTTTGCTTCTGGTCTCCATCCCAAGCAAACCCAATTGATGGATTTCCGCTAACACTTCGAAGTACTATGAAGATAATATGTGTTGGGACGTCAGTACGCACGACTACTAGTGTCTTCCATTCAACAGCATGACGGTCAACACTGAAGGGGGTTTTGGTCTGCGGATTGCCTGCGGGGGAAGAAGATGAAGGCATCGATAGCAAATGAAAGACGTGGTACGATTAGTCTCACCGGCACGCGTTGGATAACCCTGCCCTTGGGTGTAAAAGCCTTCTGACACTAGTGTCCTACCTACATAGAAGATGTCCTGAACAGGACTGATTCCGCATTATCACTTCTAGTCTCAAGAGGTAGAAAGCCACTTGCGTTCAGCGTTGAAGAATTGCTAAGATATGTGCAGCGGCCAAGTACACGCTCAGACAAAGGGGCGGGGACTGATAAATCCGAGGCCACCAAAACTCGTTACAAATCGTCAATAATTAACATGACAAGACAATCTTCAGATCAATAATTTATTATTTATTTACTATTTTCGCTGGTAAGGTAATTTTATTCTCCGCTTACTTGAGCAAGTGGGTTCAAAGTTCAACCTCACAATGTTCGCATATGAGATATGTCTTACTCTACTACAGGAATTGCCAACCACATGAGATAGTGGCGGTGTCTTTAGAGACAGATGTCAGAGGTCGTAAAGAAGATTCACTTGACACCTTAAAAGACTGGTTTCAAAGCTATATAGACATAGAGATAGATAGAGCGGCAAGGTAAGATGAGAATTGCGAGATGCAGAAGACATCAACTCCTATAATTAGTTCTTACCTAGCAAAATTACGTCAGACTCACCATGCCCTAACCTTGTTTATTGTTTTTTTCTTCTCTATTCTGGGTCTACTATTCAACCGCAAGGGACTTTATCTAGAGTAACTATTTCAACAATACGGTGCATAAGTCCCGGAGTTTGTAGCTTGCTAGTGAAGAAGACTATGATCTAATCGTACGTAAATTACTCTCGAGAATTCTCTATTCTCTAACTATCCCTATCAGGATTACGAAGGACCATCGGCCATCTGTCAAATAAACACCGCATATTATTGTAATATGATTTCGAATGTCGTCCTATAGCCATTTTTGAGGTGGGGAAAGAAAGACGAAAAATGTTAAATAATTGTGCTGCGAGCCTCTTGCGCTATACTCATAGCCCTAGGCGCCAGTATGCCAGGCAGTGAGGACTTCACACCAGTTGAGGTATATTCCATCAAATATTTATGGTTCGACCATGTTTGATTCATCAAATTGGAGTTTCATTTCCCTCTTCGTCAGCAACGGACTCTCCGTACTGACACGCGACCAATTATGAGCGTCTAGACAAGCTTGACGAGAAGCCAAGACACCTGGGCGGGCGCGATCAACAACCGCGCGCTCATATACATCAAGCGATGCTCTCAAGTCCTCTAGCTCAGGCGAGTCTTTAAGCTTAGACCCGAGAGCCTCAACAAAATCGTCAACATCGAGAATGGAGTGGTTGGCACCTTCACCTCGGTCTACTACGCGTCAGAACACCGGTCTTTCTGAATAGAGTTGCCGACTTACACATTGCCATGGCATGAATAGCGTCCCCCATCAGTGTAGAACGGCCCTTCGAACGAAGCGTTCTTGGAGGGGGGAAATCACGAGGCACAAGATCCTTTATTTCTTCCCCCTCAGGAAATTCGTAGGCAATAGATTGAAATTTCTCTGCCCACGTGGACGCGATCTGCCGCAAAAGTCGGTACCTTTCTGGTTGCGATGCCGGTACGTCAAGGGGCAACTCATTCCCGAGGAAGCCCGGACGGTAGGGCCAAGAAACACACATCTGGTAGACGTATCGGCCTGAGCCATTATCCTGAGTAGTCTCAGGTGCTTCGAGTACTACAAGTATCGGTTAGTAGGAAACTCAGCGCTTGAAATTAGGTGTGGCCTACAGCTGAGGTAAACAAACGAATCATTCTTGGAGCACGTTCCCTGTAAGAAAAAGGGATCGAGACGCCGTAGGGCCTGCACCTTCTCAGGCGAGGGATGTAGTTTGACTCCCATCAATCGCACTGGTATCTCATGCAAATCACTCTGCTCAGGGAACAATTCTTTTCTCGCTCGTGACTGGGCGCCATCACAGGCGACAAGGAGTCGGCCCGTGGCAGACGAGCCATCCTCGAATAGGGCGGTAACAGACTGCCCATCTTGCCGAAGGCCAGAGAATGACTTCCCCCACTGCACATTGCAAAATAAAGTCAGCCACAGAAGCGTAACGCCACGGAAGAAAAATAGCGATTGCTCACCTGGATATCTAAACCTGTGGCCAGAAGCTCTCGCAGCTTCTGACGGCTTACGCGGATTCGCTGCCATTCCGGGAGCGCAGGAGACTGGGTTATGAGCTCCGCCGTGCTCAAGTCGAAGAAGGGAAATCTTGAAACATCTCCACCCTGGACGGCGGCGCGGTCAACATAGGCCTCGGGAAGGCGGGCCACCAGATTCTCGGGGAGGAGCTTGCGAAGTGCGGGAAGCGACCAGTGCAGAGTCAGACCCCAACCGACGCCACGAGTCTCCAGGTCAGTATCTCGCTCAAAGATCTTGAAGGGGATCTTCTCCTTCTGGAGGTACTGGGCAAGCACGAGGCCGCTCACTCCAGCCCCGATGATGATAACAGGCTCGTTGGCCATTGTGATGATCTGTAGCTGGTGTTTTAGTTGTGTTGCAAATGCTACACAGGTGGAGAGAGTGTGATGGTGCATCGGGCAGTAAGGAAGATATAGCCGACGCTTATGCAGTCGCGGCGTCTCACCCCTGCGTCTCGTACCATCCAAAAGTTCTTCTAGAGGACCCAGAATCGCGCCAGCAGCGTGATGTGCCTCTGTCGCGGCGGCCAACAGCCGAAGCTACTCATGCAAGACGCACTCAGCTTCCCGATTGATCACCAAAGTACGGCACCAGCCAACGCGATGGTACGATCACATAAGTAGTGAGTAGCTGCGTCAGGTGTGAAGACGCAATTATAATGGCAGAACCAAACCAACGAGACATCACCAGACTAGACGCCTGATTTTTGGACAAATGTAGGGAACATTTCGTGTATATCCGACCACTGATGGCCAAAGTAGTCTCAAAAGGTAAGGAATCGTATCAGAAATTGATGCCTCATTTTATGATTTATACATGTAGCCTCAAAAATAATATCATGATAGTGTCAATCGAGATTCTACACCGAAAGGGAAGGAAAAGGTGCGGCCCTGACAATTGTAAAACAGCTCGTGATATCCTCTGCAAGCATCGCCACTACGATTCAGCTGCACCAGAGCTTCGCAAATTGTTGATTGACAGTTCTCGCAAATATCAACATAGTAATACAATAACATGTGTCGCCTCAGATATTCTAAGGCAGTGTAATACCCTAGTTGCAATCCGAAAGTCACCCCCTGGCTAGTACGTATACCTAAACTGCTTGTTCTCCTTGTCCGTCATCGTAGACCACGCCTCGGGAGACATATACTCGTCCTCTGATAGGCCCTTTCGGTTTCCTCGCTTCTTATTCTGCCAAGTGTAGTAGAGGAAGAGGCAAAACGTAGTAACAGCGCACCCAGCCTGGGTTCCCATGACGGCCAACTTTGCGGGGCGGAACTCGGGAGCATCGCGAACCTGGAAGGTCTGGGGACCGATTATATTACCCAAGCTAAAGCTGCCACTGACGATGGCGGCTGCAAATGCACGCTTGGTGGCACCGCCGAAGTTGGCTGCAGTCCACTGCAAGTAGAAGATTTATCAGCTGTTGCGAGACTGCCACGATAAAACGGCATTACTTACGTTGTAGAAAATGGCAAGGGGGGCCACAACTGCATTTACCAGGTAGATTCCTATTGAGAATTTAGTAAACCATGATCAGTAACTGATATTTGGGTCAATGAACTCACCAGCCAGAATGCCCTTTTTGTTCTCAATGGGCAGGAATGACATGAGCGCACCACCGATAATGCTAAAAGAACAAGGTCAACCTATAAGAACGAGAGGCTGAATGATAGAACTGGCGGGGACATACGCTGGGATGATACACCCGATGGACCATGCCCACCGATGGGAACTTTTGCGTACACCGAAGCCGACGACGAGAGTAAAGAATATGCTAACAACGCCTGATGGCATGTTCATAAGGGCAGCACGCTTCGAGTCATAGCCTAGGTTAAGGATGAGGGTGGAGGAATATGTTGTGACAACACCACTCGATACTGATAGCTAAGGGCATGGTTAGGTATCTGCAGGCTTCATCGTAGACAGCCACTTACCAAGACAACAGAGAGTAGCATCAGGTACAATTGCGGATCGCAGAGGGCCTCCAGTATCTCTTTGGGACGAAACTTCTGGTTCCGGATACCAGTCTGGTTCACACTGACATGCTTCAGCAGTGCAACCTTTTCGAGATCGGTCAACCAGCTGGCTTGCATGGGCGTATCCGGGATCAGAAATGCGGTACATATGCCGATAACAACGGTCAGGCACCCGAGGGTGACGAACATGATGCGCCAGCCGGCTAAGGTGGCTCCTTGAGCGTGCTGGAACCCATAGGAGATGGCACCTCCAAGGATCTGGCCGATGCCTAACCCGGTGTACCAGAACGAGAAGCGAGGCGCCTGCTCTGACTTGGTGTACCACTGGCTACTGATGAGCATCAGGGATGGGCTGATTGTAGCCTCGAATATGCCGAGAAAGACGCGTGATACGAGAAGGGTCTGGTAGTTGTGCGCAGCCGCACCGCATGCGGTAGCAACCCCCCACAGAATCACATTGGCACCCAACCACTTGACGGCGGGCGCAATCTGGAGGAAGTAGACTAATGCCGGTCAGGGGAGCGTCTGGGGAGACTGGATGTGGGAAGGCAGCATACCATTGACGACCTCGAAGCAGAGGAGTCCGACAAATAGGAAGGTGGCGATGTTGGAAAAGTCATTTCCCTGGAGATTCAGGTCCTTCTTGAGACCCATGACGGCGGCATACTGTCGAAAAAGAAAAGTGTGATGGTCAGCTTGGCTGCATGCTGCAACGTGTCACACGAGAAAAGGGGGGACCAACATTGAGAATTACTTTGTCGAGGAACTGCATCAGGTAGCATGCGAACATCAAGGGCACAATATGCCAGTCAATCTTGCGCCTCAGTGCATTGATGTCCACAGAGTTCGTGTCTGTGCCGACCGCGTCATGGTGGTTCTTGAGGAACTCCCATGCATTGTCGACATCGTCGCGTTTGTCCACGGAGCTGCTGCTCGAGCTGATGCCCTCTGCAGGGCCCTTTTCAGGCATGACGCCCTCGGTAGGGCTTTTTCCAGGCATGTTGAGAGTAGAAAGAGACAGGACAAGCAACCAGCGAACCAATAAGGTGTCACTGGGAGAATTTCCGAAGGCGAGAGGCTCAGTGACGACCAGGAATAAGTCGTGCCACAGTTGGGAAAAAAGCAAGTTGACTTAGACAAGTTGGTCGACAGGTGTCCAGTTAAAAGAGAGACGCATTCAGACATGCGTCGCCTGGGGCTGACTTCCCTTGTTGGCTGAACCTTCAGGGTCGGTAAAGATGACCGATACCCATGGCACATGCAGCTGAATGGTCTGAGGGCCTGGGCGTTCGAGAAGCAGGTCTATGTGGCCTCTGACGATGTCTGGCTAGCTTCGGATGCAGGTCGAAAGTTCTCTTGCGCAATTTGTGAGGGAAATCGCCCCTAGATGGAGACTGCAATCATGCATGGTCTGGGTCTGATGCAGCATGAAGCAGTTTTTCTCGCAGACTGCAACCTGTTGGTCCCGGCGGTCCGCAGTTAATTACTCGTTATGCAGGAAACGCCCCCATCACAGCCTGCTGCAGCCATCGTAGCTTGTGATTCGCAGCAGGGCCCTTGTCAACGTTGCAGTTGTTGGTTGTTGGTTGTCGGACCTACTCCTTTAGCCTGCCCCCCCTTGCCCCCTGTCACGACGGTCGAAGGCACCGTATTCCCCGGCGGAAAAAGACAGGGATAATGAGGCGATGATTGACGGAACTCGCCAATAGCGGATCGGCCTATTCATCGGTTTAACCCGCTCGGATGGCGGAGAGCGAATGATGTGCTTCGTTTGGAGAATGCCAGACAACGACGTGTTTCGGGGCTTGGGCACAGTTGGTGGTCGAAGCGCACACAATAGCACGAAAGTCTAGACCCCAGACAATGAACAGATAGACAATAGATGGAAAGCTTTGAAGCGAGATTGATCTCTGAGCAGACATGTTCTGATTTTGATTGTGGCTAGTCAAAGCTCTAGGCCGCGAGCATTAGGCCTCCGTGTTATTCTCATCAAATAACAATCCCAACCCAGCGTGCAGCTAGCCAGCAGACTCTGATAGGCGCCTGAATTCCCATTTCTTCATTTTCCTCCCCACCGATCTATTCCGAGACTCACTCCTCACCAACCCCATCTCCATCCTATGGGCGCCACTCCAAAATGGGCTGGGTTCTGAACGCAACCGAAGATGTCAACGGACAATCCAGGTATCCCACCATCATCTCTATATGCGCCGTCTTCTCCGTGCTGTCTACTGTCGTTGTGGGGGCGCGAGTCTGGCTTCGATCAAAGGCTCGTGGGCTGGCAGCTGACGACTGGCTGTCGGCATTGTCCGCGGTATTCGCCATAGCCTATTCGGCCATCACGATTGCGCGTACGTCTCACTGTCCTTTGATTTTTCTAGCCTCTACCAAGTATCCTAAGAAATAATTCTTCAATAGAAACCCGGTATGGCCTCGGACTGCCACTGAAGTTACGACCTGAGCCGAACCTCGTCATGTACACCCGGGTCAACTACGCTGGTAGACCTGTTTATCAAATCGGCATCTCCTTCTTCAAAATTGCGCTGTTAATCAGCTACCTACGTTTGATCCAAGGGACTCATCACAAGGCCTACAGGATCGTAATTTGGGTCACAATAGGCTTCGTCTTTCTGGCGCATTTAGGATGTGCGCTTGCGCTTATCCTCGCCTGTAAACCAGTAGGCTCAAGATTTAAACACACAAGCAGAACCCCGGATTTGAGCTTACTGTTTTTAAGGTGAACAAGTCGTGGAATCCCTATCTCCAGGGCACGTGCTTGGCCCCAGGTCCCTCCTTCACTGGCTATGCCGTCGTCACGATAATCTCGGATATAGTCACGGCACTTCTCCCTCTTCCGGTGCTCTTGAAGCTTCAAGTCAGGACGAGCAAGAAGATCGGACTCGTGTCGATCTTCATGCTGGGGGTTCTAACAACGGTAGCCTCTATTATGCGCTACTTGCAGATCGATAGGATCCAGCATGGAGATGGCGATTCCACTCTGCTCGTTCTCTGGGGGACGATTGAATTCAACATTGGTGTAAGATATCTCCCAAACCAAATGTCCGCCCTCAATCTAACGACAGCAGAATGTTGTGTCATCGCTCCCATTCCTCGCCCCTCTGTTCATACGAAAAGCGAAAGATTATCGATCGAAACACTCCGATGATTACAACACGCCGAGTGGAAGAAACAAGAGCAAGACGGACGGCCAAGGGTCCAGGTTCTCAATGAAGGTGCTCTCATCGAGTAGGGCCGGGCCCGTAGAAGACAACGCCTCCGAGACGGGGAGCCGAGAAAATATCCTTGCCGGGGACAGAGACATCGTCAAGTCAGTGACATACAGCGTGAAGGTAGATGACGCTTCAATATCAGGAACCACTCAAGATAGGTCACTAAGTTAGGATAGAATTCGACATCGTCTCTTTAAATCATCTTTAATACACTGGGACCCCTCGACTTCAATCAAGACCATAAAGCTTGCGGCGCTCTTCATCGTGTTCATCTCGATGCCATGTTAGCTTCCTGGGCGGCTATGGATAATAATTTCAGTGTCAAGTACTCACCTATGCCGCCGCATGTCTTCGGCATTTGCGATATATGAACCCAATAGCCTTCTCTCGATTTATTTTTTGATAATACATTCACATCACTAGCCTGTTGTTCGAGGCCAGAGTATGGGATTTTCCTCCAGAACTTCAGGCCTCCAATGTCTGCTCGTTGTAATCTGGTTACGTCCAGGCCTTGTATCTCTGCTAATTTCAGATCCATCAACGAGTAAAACATCCACTCTCGAAAAGTAACCGTAATATCAGTCTTGGGCGAAGCAATCCTATTCACAAGATCGTCAATACTTGGGAGGGTAAAGGTAAGAAGGCGCTCCTCAGTATTCTTGCGGCCGTATCTGGACTGCCTAAGGCTATTATGAAAGTCATCATCCAGAAATCTTTGGTCACTCTTCAGGAACAGTCGTAGGAATGCCAGCGATGGAAAGAATGGCCTGGATATCTCACGAGGAGCAGGTGCACCCGAAGAGCTGGTCGGGCGGTTCGGTGACACGCCCAAGAGTACCTGAGCTAGGCGCACGTTATATCCGTCCAACGCGAGTTCGAGGGACCTAATCATAGACAATTTGAAGGGTCGGAGAATATCGTGGGCTCCTTGTAGGAGCACCGGGGAGGACATCTGGATGGTGTTGGTTTGGTAGAGCACCTCAAGACCCTCATCATAACTACCCGTATTCAATTAACGAGCTGCCCTGGCGAAAGAGACGTGAGAATGAGAAGCACTTACGCTTGTTTGCAGGCCAATAACCAGCCTGTCGCACCCACGAAACACTTTTCAGGAACTTCGCCAGGCCAGTACGTGCAGCTTCCCTCCGCAGAGAGACATTTATCTTCGTGGACGTCCGTTGAGCCTCCCCGGTTCACATAACCTCGCCTTCCATAGCTCAGCATTGGGTCGTCAGGCCGCGCCCGATGGCAAACGCAGCTGAACCACCGCCATTTCTTCTTCTCTGATTCATCGTACAGGACAATGTTGGGGGTGAATAAGCCAAAGCGACTGTGGATCCCAGCATGGAGGTGGGCTTCGGGGCTCTGACTGAGTAAACGGCACTTGTCATGGCTGATGACACGAAACGGGTGTCTAAAGCTGAGATCTAGATGCACGGTGCGCGATCCAAATGCATGAATCAAGATCTGGCGTCTGATCTCCGGTGGAAGCCTCGTGAAGAAAAGACAGGGGCCGGGGCGGTGGCTCCGGATCGCTCGGTCGGGCTGGGAATGGATTCCAAACCACCATCTCAACAATCGGTTACGAGTCTGCTGTTTCTGTTTCTTCTTCCGGCTCTTTGGATCAATGCACATCAACTCCAAGGTGCGATCGCGACGGATTCGCTCGCGCTTCTTCCTGCAGTTTGTGCGCCACTTCTCGATCTCATATTCCAAGATGCCGAGCTGGATGATGGCGAGGATAAATGGGCTCATCGCAAACCAGATGCCTAGCGATATGATGCCAAAAATGCCCATGAGGACGTCATCTTCATGTTTGAGATTCTGAAAGGCCTCAACGATGTCCTTGCGGCTGATCACTTTCATCACATCGCACACTCGATCCTGTCTCCACATACTGGTAATCGCTTGTATTTTCCGAGGGGTGGTTCAGATTGATCGTTAGCTCCGCAGCTTTCATCTGATGCAGGGGTGAGCAGGAAGATGCGCCGTAATTCTGTGATGTCGCGCGACAAAGAAGAGTCACAATGGCCAACAGGTTCGACGTCATGCCTCGGCTGAGATGGCGCGTTGTCCCGCATTCTGTTTCATACATACTTTCAATTTAAGCGGCTCGCTGACTGGCATTGAGCTGCGAGTCAAGTGACCACCAGCCAATGGCCGTCAGCGGGAAGTCCGTTTCCATGTCAGCCCACATAAAGTAAAACACATCTGATCTGACTATTCGGCACGGCAAAGCACAGACCAGACGCCCATGTTCCTTCACGGAGATTGCTCCATCCGTTGCCAAAGGGCTCAATGAGCGTCAAAGGAACGTTTCCGTTGAGGCGGTATCGTTTTCTCCTCTTTGCTTCCGGGGTTCCCTGCCTAGCCTTGATACGTCAGAGCAGCGGTAGCATGAGAGCTGAGAGTGGTAATTTGACCCGCGCCATGTGATTTGATGTCGTGACTTGGGCCTAACGTGTATCGCCCACGCCGCATCCACCGCTCAACAAAACTGGGAAAGAGAGACATAGTAAGTCGTCTTCAATTACCTACTATTAGGCCACACTATTGATCCAAATGAAGAAAATATAGTGCTGCTTGGGTCCTTGTAGAGAGCCGGAGCTTGCTTAGTCAGCGGTTTAATTTCTCCTTCTACTTGCTACCCTGAATCTCTAAGTCGAACGATAGAAGGGATATGAGGTCAAGGCACAACTGCTGGATCATCAATAACCTAACCAACGAGATCTCATGGGATTCTGTGCATCGGATGACAGCGTGAGCCAGCTTCTGGTGTTCGGCGACTTATTCGAGGTCTTCAGGCCAAGTACTGCGCCTCATGTCGAATCTCAAACACGGCAAAATAAACGTACGTAGGATCTGGCACCAAAACGACACTGTACTGTTATAAGAAACGACCTTGGCCGTAGTACAAGCAACTATGAAGTATACCGAGGAATGAGATGTTTATTAAGATGAAATTAGAACGAAGTTTTAGATTAAGATTAGCCCTAGACTGAGGGATACTAGGTCCTATCTCTTATATCTTCCTGCTCTCACTCCTTCCTAGATAAGCTATTTATAGTAGATCCTACCAATAAATTATAGAGAATCCCTGAAAGAATTAATTTATTTAGACTTTTATATACCTTCATCCATAGTAATGATTCCATTATGATTACCCATTTTAGGGAGTTTTGGCTCTAAATTATTATTTGCATGATACCCTTGGACGACTTGGAAGCCTCTCTGGATCTCTGCTGGCGGCCTTCGCCTGGTTACTATAATCAGCTTGCTTAGGCAGTTGATTCTTTTTCGACGTTAGTCTATTACTCTCGAGCCTCGAAACTCTACGCATGGTCAAGGGGGCTATAGTATACTCCATGAACATGATTTATCCACGCCTAAGAGTAAGTTAATACGCTAACTCAAGTATTCTAAAATTAATCAAGCGCAGCCATTGGAGAGACTGCTTCTGTTGAGGTCACCGCTAATAAGAGTCCTATCCTACGACATTTAACCTACGCTAAGCGGCCAGTCGATTATTTTAAAGCCTTCCACCTTAAGGATAATCATTAGAAGTCTGCGCTCTAGGCTAAGGAACTCGATGAGATACTTACTCATCAGTTTAATATGCCTGAGATAGGAGACTCTGGTGATTTAGAGTCTTTAGCTTTCTATGAAGACGTTAGTTCTGAAGACTCTAACAAGGATGAAGTTTATCCTTCTGAAGACTTCGCCAAGACTGATGTAGGCTCTTCAGAGGATGATGCCGCTGGTTTATAGGGTGGCAAACCAAGAAAGGCCAGGCCGGCTCCTTACCAGGATGAGAATGAGTATAGGATTGTGGGTAGAGACGGCCATCCGGACCACGATGTTGACGTTCGATTCCAGACATCAATTTACTAAAACGATTACCTAAGAGAAGAGAATAAAGTTCAACAGCAATGGAAGCTGCCAGAGCCCGACAACTCAACACAATGAATACTAAAACGATTACAGAAGCTCGACAGAGTAATATCAGACCTGAAGACTTAAAATACGATGGATCGATGTCGATATGATGAGGCTTTGCAGATATTGGACGAGTGTCATCATTTGTCGGCGACGACCAAGAGCCCTTCAAGAGCAACTATGCCTACACTAGAATGGAAGCAACATACCCAGTAGCGAAAATGCCTAATGGATGTCTTAGCCCAATGTCTACATTGTGGTGAGACTTTCTAAAGCATCGGGCTCCTAGTCCATCATTACCTTAACAACATTGCATCCAGGGACACCTCTCACTAGGTCGATGATGAGGCACAGCGAGCGGTTGATTCAGCTCCTGGATTACTAAGTAGTAAAGACCTTGAGCGTTGGATTTTAATATTGTGTTGAAATTTAAGCTGGATGGGGGCTTTGGTGTACCTTGCTTTATTTCAGTCACTTGTCGCGCAACGCGCCAATTCTCACTTTTCACGCACCATCAGTGCTTGATGTCCATTATCTGCGTGATTTTCCAATCACATTTGCTTTCACACCACCTCAGCATACATGTAGGTACCTTAGTGGCAGAACACACGCGGCGGGCGAGCATGCGTCGTCTGCATTCTCCATCTGTGTCTGGCAATCTCGTTCCCCAACCTCCCTTGCAATAGGCTATCTCCTCTATGCGTGAAATGCATCCGCATGGATCCCGTATTCGCTTCCTACGTTTTGGGTCGGAAAAAGGTTTCTTGCGTTTGGCGTATTCAGCATTATTCTTGGCCACAAATGCAAATCCTTTTCAACCATTGCTAACATAACGACCCAGGTACGAGTTTTTGTTTACACGTTTTCCAAGCTCAAAGGCACAAATATTCCATCAAAATCGTGAAGATAATCTACCGCGAGATCCCCGATTGCCCCGATGATCGCCTAGAATCCCAGAAGTGGAAGTTTTCACGGTCGAAAAAAGACCGCCCCACGTTCCAACGCTTTGCCAGACGCCTCGTTTCAAAACTACAATGCCAGTTGCCCCTCGCCCTTCCAGCGAGACAGACTAAAGTTACAATCTTGACCCAAAGGCTTATCTCCTTCACTATAGGTAATTCTAATATCTTAATTCATATTCCTGCAGCAGCAATATAGTACAGGGTAGTCATCCGTCAAGAAGATTCAAGACAAGCCATGACCATCGTCGTGCCTGAGCTCTCCGTCACAGGGATGCTGCTGACTGTGCCACTAACAACTATCCCTGACTCTTTCAAATCCCGACCCGTATTCTAGCCACTCAGAATTCGTTCCCAGAGATTCAAGATGAAAAGTGGTTCCGTATTGGCCGGGAGGTGGATATATTTACTTGACAGCTGCCGGTAGTGACGGCGACTGGGATCGCCTTCCTCTTCCTCTTCAGTCCCGAGTAATTTTAGAGTCGGAAGTTCTGGAGGATTCGGGTGTTGAATCTTAAATACCGGCAGTCTCATCGCCGAGTGGTTCATTTCTCTCCACTGTCTTTTCTATCGTCTTCCCAATTTCTGCCTGTTGCTAACCTCTTTGATCCTCACTTCGTCTATTCTATTCAGCGAACATGCCTTCCATTTCTCGTGCCCTCAAGGGCGTCGCCGCAGTGCTTGCCCTTAGCTCGCAGGTTTCGGCCATTGACTGGTCCTTGCCCTCGGACCTTCTGAAGAACCCTTTATATGGCGCGGTCGACAATAACTTTGATTGCCGTAGCAGTAGCCATCCCAACCCCGTCATTATGCTCCACGGTCTCTCCGCCAACCGCGAAGTAGATCTCAACACATTGGGCTGGAACTTGACGGATGCGGGCTACTGCGTTTTCAGTATGACCTACGGAGCCCACACCCTCGCACCCTGGATTGGAGGTCTCAAGTCCATGCGAACGTCCGCCAAGGAAATTGCCGCCTTCATCACTGAGGTCAAGACCAAGACCGGTGCTGAAAAGGTCGATCTTATCGGCCACAGTGAGGGTGTAAGTAGTACCTCACATTACTATCAGGTTACTGAGCTAATAGTCGCTGGTTAGGGAGTTATGGCGATTTACGTACCCATGACCCAAAGCGGCATCGCTGACATCGTCGACCACAACATCGCTCTCGGACCTGCCATCCACGGTGCCAAGTACTTCGGCTTCACCGATCTGCTCTACTTCGGTGGCGAAGTCACCCGTAGCCTGGCCTCTCTCGCTCTCAAGGTCCTCGGGTGCGCTGCCTGCGATGACATGGCCACCGATGGAGATGTCTACGACGACTTCAAGGCCAATGCGGGAAAGATCATCCAGGCGGGGAATAAGGCCAGCATCATCATGAGCAACGCTGATACCCTTGTCGCCCCCGAGACCAGCCGTATCGACGAGGCCGGTGCTCGAAACATCATCATCCAGGATACATGCCCCGATGACGCTGTTGGCCACGCCGGTCTTGCCTGGGACAAGACTGTCTGGGGGCTTGTCGTCAACGAGCTCACCGAGGACTACAACCGCAAGTTTGAATGCGCCAAAGGCCTCGTCTTTAGGAAGTAAAGAGCTGGTTGACTTGGGATGGAGTCATCACATGGTTAGGTAAAAAGTTGCTTGTTGTTGTTTAGAGCCGGGCTGGTACCGGGCTTCTTCAAATTACTTTTTTTTTTTTTTTTTATTTTTTTTTTTAAGAATAGAATGGAAGCGAGCATTCGAATGAAGGAATAATATTTTGGACGCCTATCACATGAACCTTGAGGTAAATGGGACATTGAATATTCTCAGTGACAGTACTTACGACATGACATGTATTTGAGTTAAAAAAAACCCTCATGTAAGGTTCCCGTGGGTAGGTAGTTAGAGTCATTGTGCTTTTTAGGGTGGGCATGAGCTTGAACGGCACTTGACGTTGCTTGTCAGAGCCGAGCCTCTGTCTCCATCCCATCGTGTTCTCTGTGGATAGCCCATTCCTTGAATCAGAAGCCAATGCCTCTCATGGTTTGGAAATGCGGTCAATATTGCTGTAGCTTTCTCAATAAAGCGAGATGGACCATTTGCGCTATCGGGAGATCTGTCTTGATGGGCAGTATGCCATCAATATTGTACTACCTACTAACTGGATGCCCTCTCTCCATACAAGTCGATCACCACAGGCCGGTCCTTGACCATGGTGAGAATCGGCCACTATGCATCATCGATCTGCGGGGTGTATCACAGAGAACGAACCCCTGCATCATGCGAGTTACCTTACGCGAGTTACCCTGCCGTGGGCTTTCCTGTTTCAGCAGACCAGAAGGCGGATTCTAACGACCCTCTGTGACAGCACAAACAGTGCATTCGCAAATGATTGCCTAGCGGCCAAAAATGCATCTTTGATCTGGTGGCACTGTCTCAGCTGCATGGACCAGTCACATGGCGTCTGCGTCTGATCTGACTTGTCGATTGGACAGCTACGGGAGGCCAACCGTCAAAACGTGATGGCCAGTTGCAAGCTTGCAGTAGCAGCCTGCACTGAGCTTTGCTGCTGTTCTCTTTTTTTCTTTTTTGGCAGCAGGCAGCCACCTGTCACGCGCTCTTTCCTTGCCTCGCCCACAAAGGCGGTGTTTGCTGTAGTTTTTCTGCCACGCACGACGCGTCTTGCTAGTGCCTGAGCTGAGCTTCTTCTCACATCCACCACCATTTGTTCCTCTCCAACACCTCTCCTCCCCTCTCCTCTCGCTTTCGCACCTACATTCATCTCGTCTACTCTATTCTCTTTCACCTCTCTCGTTACACTCCCCGCCCCGAATACCTCAGCAGCTCGAATTTTCTAGGAGCAACCGACCCTCCGCCCCATGCAGCTCCGCCAACATGGACGAGAAAGACAAAAAAGGCCGCTTAGAGGCCATCTTTGATCATCTCGTTCTTCCAGCCCAGATCAGCGACCCCGATCCCACCGGAAAGGATGAGGATCTGGCTCTTGGTCTCGGCCAGTTGCTGCGGCGATCCGTTGCCTTGCTGCTCGACGGTCACCAAAACCACCAAGTCTGGAGTGCACTCCAAAGTGCGCTCAACTCCACGCTGAAGGTTCAATCGACCAACGCCGAAAAGGAATCGCTCATCGCCGCCTTAACCAAACTCAGCCAAGAAGCTGACCCAAGGCGTGCCTGGCTTGCACTCCATGTGGCTAAGCAGAATGCCGGCTTGATTATCCATAAGCGTTCCCCCAAGTATTTTCCCAACATAGGCAGCCAGAACTCTTTTCTCATTTCCCCATATTCTAACCTCTTATAGTGATGTAGTCTTTGAAGCATTCCACGCATCCCCTCCCTCAGCCCTTGTACTAAAAGCGACCCATGCCATCGCACAAGACTTTCCTGACCGAGCTGTGGGAATTCCAATCGAAACCTTCAACTCCTCATCCTTTCGGGAGAATCTTGCCACTTTTCTTGAGCAGGCAACCAAAGACTCCTTCGAACGCTTCGCAGCACGAGCGCACAAGGCTGGCCGGGCCATTGTCGAGACTCGCGACTCCCCGAGCCCCGCTCTCATCAGCGAGATGCTCATGTCGCTTTTGGAAGGCCTAGGTCAATCCCAGCAAGTCCCTAGATTGCGAAAGAAGGTCCGGGATGATGTTGTTCTGGCAGCATCAGAAGCTCCTTGGAGACGGTCACCATACTGGCTCGTCCTCCGCGTCTTCATTCGCCGCCACCTCACTTCACTTCTCGACAAAGATCATCGTCAGGATTCTGGAGTCGGAAGAATCTACTACAAGTTCCTCATTGCTGTCATGCTTGCTAAGCTCCTAGAGACTAGCGTTGGATTTCTTCACCCTGAGAAGATCATGACACTTCTGGCCAAGTTGCAGTCGGAGCGAGAGGCATCCGATGGAGCTTCACGTTTGGCCTACGACTCTCTTCTCGGTCAAACCAAGAATATGTTCTTACAAGTGACAACTGACTCCAAAGCTAAAGTCAAATCAGCTTGGGAACGTTACAAGAAATCCATCACAAGGCACATTCCACGACTTCCCCGAAGCGCAGATGCAAGCGATTTCCGTCTTCGCCTGGAGAGCAGTGGCGCGAGGCTCCAAGGACTTCTGTCACAAGTTGTCATTCCCACTCGCAGACCGATGGGGCTTGATGTTCCTACGCTTGAGGGCACAGTTTGCCAGATCAACGACCTTGCCACAGAGTATACTGAACTTCACGATTTTGAAGCACAACTTGGCTCGGATGACTTGGACCCTGAAAGTCGATGTAAGATGGTTGCCGAGGATATCATCGCCTACATGAAGAGGGCCTCAGTTCTTTACAATGGAGATTCAGTATTGATGAGCCAATGCTTGTTGAGACTTTTTGAGCTGTGGATAGCCATGGACGAAGCTGCAGCAGAAATCTTCCCTGGCCTGCTTGATTTTCATCCTGTTTTTGTACCTCACATGCTCGATGTTCTTTGCTTGCTAAAGCGGAGCGAAATGTCTCGCCTTCAGCGAGTTCAGCAGTACATCAAGGGTCGTGTCGCGGGATGCTTGCCAACGAGAACCACCATATTTGGGGACCCCGAGTCCTTGTCTGCTTTCCCTCTACAGTTCTTTCGTTCAACTAAGGCAGGAGCTCAGATGGCCGCGCTGGGGGCTGAGATCGACCATGAATCGATGCAGTCCAGAAAGAATACAGAGGCAACGCTCGAAAGATTAACGATCGAATATCATGAACTTACGGACGATATAAATGCTGCAGTTTGCACTTGTACATACCTTTTGGATGGAACCAAAGATGTCAGAGGCTGTGATCGATGTTACAAGTGGAGGTGTCGAAACCGATTGAAGGTGGCCGTACATGAGGCTTTTCTACCAAGTGGGCGAGGACGAGAGGGCCAACGCGCGGCAATTCTGTTGGAGATGCGACTACCAAACTTTATGGACGCCTACCGAGAGGCCACATGGAGCTTGATCGTTCTTGGAACTCCTGATGTTTCATCGTTTTACGCAGCAGAAGGCACGCCTACCCAGACCCTGAAAGACCTTGGTCAGTTGGAACACTGGTTTTTCCCTATATCCGGATCCTTGATCCTAGCCTCGATGAAGAAGTCGATCCTGAACACACACTACAGGAGCAGAGCCCTGCCTGCGCAAGTCCACGAGGTTATTCTGCCTTTCGCCGCCAAGTTTTCGTGTTATGATTCGGTCAACAAGATATGGACGAGTCAACTCGAATCACGCATCCCTAATTACCAACGATTGCTTGGAGCATATATTCCACACCCCCAGCTCATTACTGATCCCTATACGCACGATCAACTTCTCAACCAAGATCTATACCCACCTTCTAGCTATGAAATTGCTGCTAGTGAGGCGGATTGCACGCCTGATATATCCTTTAAAGAACTCTCAGCTTTTCAAAGGGCAATTTCTGGAAGAGGGAGACGTTGGATTGTTCTTCTCATCGAGTTGGCTGCTTCTAATGTCAATTTTAGTAGCCAGGCCGCAATGAATCTTCTTATTCGCCTTGCTATTCAAGCAGGCCCGAACGATTCCAGGCGCAACGACGATAACGTGCTACGAGAAGCCCATGCCGTCTTCAGCGATGCCGAATTCTGTGAGCAACTCTATCAACAACTCAATATGAGGCTGGAAGCCATCTCCATGAGCTGGCGAGAAGTATTCTTTATGAATATCATTATCATTTTTAGCCTTCGGCTGCTGCATCTTAGCCCACAAAGCTTGAAATGGATGCCACAAAAGCTTCTCGTAAGAGCGAGGGATGCCACTTCAGACTGGATCGTTCGTTTGCGTGATGACGTTAGGTCTGCTAGCGACCCAGGCTCAGCACAGAAGGCAGCTATGCATGCCTTTCAGGCCTCCTTGTTATGTCGAAAGATCTGTCTCGAGCTTATGGCGGACACACATAACTGTCAATCTTGTGCGGACAAGACCAACACGCGTTGTTTTCTCCGCGCTTCGATCGCGATGCAAGAACACCTTGTGATTGATTTGAACCGAATTACAGCACACCAACGACTCTTGCTTGGGCAAGATTTGTATGAGTCTTATAAGTTGCGAAATCTGATCGAAGAATCTCTGGCTGGTCTCGGGATGGGATGTCTTGAAGAGGTAATCGACGAAACTTGGCCAACAGGTGGCCAGCCACGTTCGTACTTGAATTGGACTTTTTTGGCTGGGCCACAAAGATTTTGGGTTGCTTCCCATGCCTCCAGCAATCTTTTAACCAGTCGTCCGCAGGTTGTTCATTTCCATATATTACAGGGACATCTTCTCGTCGATGGGAAGCCTTTGGGAAGGCTGCCACTGAGCATGAGGGAAGATGAAGCAATCAAAGAGTTATTTGGACACCGTTATCTGCTCACGCGCTCCTCATCTTTAGCTGGTATGGAATATCAACTTGCAAGCGACGTGGAAGGTCATACTGTTCACTTTGGCCTCAAGGATACAGTTCAGCCTGGCCTGAAGGAGAAACGAGTTATTATCAAGTCTGTGTACCGAGGCCAAGCCCTTGAGTATGTCAACCGTGACATTTTCAGACCATACGATTTGCCGTCCACCCTCATCGACGATTGCTTTCACTGGCTGAACTCCATTACCGGTGAGGTGGAAATACGCCGGAAAGCACAACCTTGGAGACAAAAGCAATCCAATTGGGTCCTTAACATCAAGGCACGCGAGGTCCGGCGAAACCCGAAGAAGTTGGGAGGTTCCCGACTGATAGATCCCCGATCCGATATTGGCGGGAAGATCGCTGGTATATTGCGTGGTTTTGAAGACCAGGATAAACTGACAATATACGCACCAGCGTCCGGGATCGTCAACGTCGAACTGAAAAGATTAGAGCTCTCATTCTTCGTTAATAAGCACAAGCTCCTCCAGTCAAGTCAACTTCAGTGTGAGATCGACCCGAACCAGGATATTGGCACTTTCTATGGCCTCGAGAGTGGAATAGTCCTGAGAAATATCCATAGTCTCGATCAGAGAAGCATCATCTTGCCTATGGGCGCGACACATTGGCAAAGACGGGGTATGCACGTGGCTGTTATGGTTCAAAACGGGGGAGAATACTGCCGATATACTATTAATTCATTGCTAGCACGCCTGGAGTGTCCCCCGGAGCCAGCCCTACTGTTTCTCAAGGCCTATTTGCACGCTTTGACATCATTTGTCTTACCAGACCAACTAACTGGTCGCACCGGGACTGAAGAGGCGCTCTTCGCACTGGGAAGCGCCACATGCCAGCCCTGGATGGAGTTACCAACCGTACCGCAGAATAGGTTGATGAATCTGAAACAGTCATTGGTTCCGCGCCGAGTGTACTATCCCCCTGATAAAGCTGTCTGTCAGAAGATATTCTGGGACCAGAATCTTACTTCCACGATTCAACACGACGCCCTTAAGTGTGTGGTAGAGAAGATCTTACTCCAATCAAGGATCCTTTCACAATTCAACCACAATATCGACCGGTCATGCGATGGAAGCACTGAAGTACCATCAAAACAAGATCACTTAGTTCTGCGAGGCATCATTCGTCGCCATCTGTACGAAAGACAACATGACGTTATCAAGAGCCTGATACCCAGCCACGCTCTTCAGCCAATATATTTCGACACACAGGCAATTTCGAATGGAGCCTCGAAGGAAAGCCGTCGGGTGTACTCGATTTTGAAGGGCCTGCACCCTGATTGCACGGAGACGCATAGCACTTATTCGTTAGAACCAATGACCTTTCTCTCTGCACAGCTGTCAATTGGCGGTTTCACACCTGGCTTGCGAAATATCAATATTGCCGAACTTTTGGACAACCCGCTGATTCCGTTCTGGGGAACTCTGGTCCAGACATGCCGACAGGGGATTGAGCAGTACCAAGTCATCTTCATGCTGGCGATTATTGCATTTGGCAAGAACGTAGATGCTCTCATGCTCAAATGGCTAGTGAAAATTGCCATGAGCCAACAGCTGCGATCAGTCATCCCGCCAGCTTTTGAAGTGGCTTTTATTGGTTACGAAGCATCCGGGGTCCCTGATGAAAAAGTTCTTGAATCTCTTATCCTTCGCAGCAACCCTCAGAACATGCAAGTGACTCGTCCTGGACAGAAAGGTCTTCCGGGAGGTAGGGATTCTATCACCGCTTGGGAAGCTACCCGACTGGCTTCGCGTATTATCACCTGGTGGTGTACTAGGCCAAGTCTCCAGGAGGATGTCTTCGAGAGTGAGGTCAAGCAAGACGATTTCAGGCACCTGAATATTCAAGGAGTCTGGAAGTCTCTAGAGCCCGAGCTGGACAGAGTCCATCGCAATGTGCAGTTGCATCAATACATCATGCAACTTGAGAAACTGGCGAAAGCGGGAGGCAAAACGCAAAAGGCTGCTAGGAGCAGTACTTGGGAGTTGAATTGCAGTCCCGGAAAGTTATCACCTTCTGCGCCTGAGGGCGAAGAGACTGTTTACGAATTCTTTGAACTGCCGACTCTATCCGGTCACCTTTCACGGAAAGAGCACGCTGGTCTCATTTTAACTTGGACTAGGCGGAAAGAAGATTTGGGCATCCAAGTGCCCTCTCCGGGTCAAGAGTTGGAAGAACAGATCACTGATAGAGATCTCATCAATTCCTCCAAGGAGCTTTCGATCTTGGATGGAATCACGCAGGGGCTAATTAGCTCATCCGACTCTACACGCCAACAGTACGGTAACGATCTTCGACAGTCGCTTCTAGCCTTGGCCAGAAACGAAAATACCAGCCCAAGTACACCTGTTCAACCGGCTCACATGAGCCTGGGAAAGTTGTTAATGGAGATCTCGGATACCAAGAATGCACTGTCCAAGCAAGCCTCGAGTATTTATGAGTCTATTCGTGCTGGAGAAGCATGTTATTCATGGCTGTGGGTGGGCGGTCTCTGGGCTAGCGTAACACCTGTAGCCCTGCTCGAGTTGCTTCAGAGAGATACTCGTGGGCATTCGCGACCAGAGATGCTGGCCGGAGTTGTATCGTACGGATTGCTTATTACCAAACTTCAAAGGCTATTACGGATACAAGATGCCATGTACTGCAATCACAAGCAACGGCTTGATGAAGAGTACACCAACCAGCCGCATACGAACTGGAATCCTGTGGAATACCCTGAGTGGCTCCTATTGGAGATTGATAATGATATGTTGATTCGAAGGTCTCAGGTTGATGTTGCTCGCGCAATCATCTCTCCTGCTTCTGGCAACAATTCAGTACTGCAGATGAACATGGGACAAGGTAATTACGGGAATTAAGCATGTACTTGATGGACGGCTTACTAACCACCTCATCTAGGCAAGACTTCTTGCATCTTACCGATGGCGGCGGCCGTTCTGGCCAATAAACAAGAGCTTTGCAGAATCATTGTTCCTAGGTATAATGATCCTTCGCCTTGGTAGTCTTCGCTTTGAAATCACAGCTTTTCTAACCCGTTTACTACATTTTAGGGCACTTTTGCACCAAACCGCGCAGGTGATTCAATCCCGTCTAAGCAGATTGATCGGGCGAGCTGTCACCCATATTCCTTTCTCCAGAAGAACACCCACCAAAGCCCAATTTCTAGGGAACTTCCGCGAGATCCATGAGAACGCTTTAGCGTGTGGTGGAATCATGCTATGCCTGCCAGAACACATCCTCTCGTTCAAGCTCAGTGGCCTTCAGCGCCTTTCCGATGGCAAACTTGACGAGGCTGAGCATATGGTAAACATTCAACAGTGGCTGAATGAGTCATGCCGGGATATTCTCGACGAATCTGACTTCATGCTGGCGCCAAGAGTCCAGCTCATATACCCCAGCGGGCCGCAGACGATTGTCGATGGCCATCCTTACCGCTGGCAGATCACGGAAGAGATTTTGTCCCTTGTTGAGAATCATGTTTCCTATCTCCAGCTCGAATATTCAGATGGCCTACATATAGTTCGACGGCATCAGGCATTTCCCATCCTTCACTTTCTTCACACTGAAGTTCAAGACGCTCTGAATAGTCTCCTGATTGATGATATCTGCAACGGGCGCCTATCCACTGTTGAGTTGAAAGTTCCAGGTTCAGAGGAAGCGCAGAGAGACTTGCGAGATGTTCTAACGCCCTCCGCAGAGCCATCATCGGAGGCCTGGAAGAGGGCATGTCAGCATTTAGAAGACGACTTTGGCTATAACAAGCTGCTTCTCCTTCGCGGCCTTATCTCGCAACGGATTCTCCTCCTGTCTCTCAAAAAGCGTTGGAACGTGCAGTTTGGGATAACGCCAATTCGGCCCCCCATTGCCGTACCTTTTGAGGCCAAAGGAATACCTTCCCAGACGGCAGAGTATGGCCACCCCGATACTGCAATAGTCCTCACGTGTCTAGCATTCTATCAGACTGGTCTATCGGTAGCTCAGATAGAGCAAAGTCTCAAGTACATCGTCAAAATGGCCGATCCTAGTGTTGGGTTCGAGACTTGGATCCAGGACTGCAATGACCTCCCTGCAGCACTCCGACATTGGAGTCTCATTAATGCCGATGACGTTGAACAAGTCTCGCAACTCTGGCAACATCTTCGTTTCAACAGAAATGTGATTAATCAATACATGAACACATTTGTCTTCCCCGCCCATGCAAAGCAGTTCAGCCTCAAACTCCAGGCATCTGGGTGGGATCTCCCATTGTTTTCCAAGGACAAAATCACGAAGTCTCGAATATCTAAACCAGACAGCATCTCTTCAATTCAAGAAAGGAATCTAACAACCGGATTCAGCGGAACTAACGACACCAAACGTATGCTTCCAGACAATATACGCCAGGAAGATTTGCCAAGTCTTCTTCAGACAAATGCTCAGGTCTTGAAATATCTGGTAGAGATCAGGAACCAGGAATGTCTTCTTGCCCAGGACAAGTATGGTCGCCAATTATCTGAGATTGACTTGCTGAAACTACTCCATTCGAAGGGGATCCGGGTGCTGATAGACAGCGGTGCGGTGAGTGAATTTAAACGTCGGGAGTATTGATCGGCTCGACTTTACTGACAGACTGAATATATATAGTACATTTTAGAGCGCGAAAACCACGAAGTAGCCTCCGCCTGGCTTGAGGTTGACTTTTTGGCCCAGGCGGTTGTGTACTTTGGTCAAAACAGCCAGATCATGGTTCGAGCTCGATCTCTTAAAAACCCCATGCCTCTTCTAGCCAGTCCCTTCGCCAATGATCTTAAAGACTGCCTTGTATACATTGATGAAGCTCATACGCGAGGGACTGATTTGAAATTGCCTCTTTCTGCTAAAGGAGCATTGACTCTTGGTCTCGGTCAGACAAAGGATCACATTGTTCAAGGTGAGTTTAATATTTCATTTCCATCGTAAAGTAATAAAATGCTTATGATCGTGATTTCTCAGGTGCCATGAGGCTCAGACAACTTGGTTCGACTCAATCAATCGCATTTGTGGCCCCTCCAGAGGTCTTCCGAAGCATTATGAGCCTCGAGTCGCGGAATAAAACAACCAACAAGGTCAACTCGATTGATGTAGTCCGATGGCTGCTAGAGCAAAGTTGCAAGACCAACGATCAGATGATGTCACTTCATATATCCCAAGGCCTTGACTACTGCCGCCGCACGAACGCTGCGTGGAAGGCTACCAAGTCGCTGACGGATCGAGTTGAAAGGATCAGGCTCTTGAGGACCATCCGAGAGAAGGAAGACCAGACGCTTGATCAACTATATGGTCCAAGAGTTAACACCGAGGCCAATACGGAACCGATTGAAACAAAGTCCTCGCGCCTCAAGTCTGTTCTGTCTCGAATTGCAGGAAAAAGAGCCACACTCTCGAAGGAGGCGGCATCCGGGGATAGCACAGCCTTTCAAGAGGTGGAGCAAGAGCGAGAGGTAGAATTTGAAGTGGAACAAGTCCGGGAAAGACAACGGCCAGAAAAGCTGCAAGCTCTTGCCTTTCCTGGTGTGAGTGAACAGCTTGTGCAGTTTGTCAGGAATGGAGACCTTCCAGATGCCAGTACGATTGTTCAGGCCTTTGCCTACATTGGCAATACTGTAATAGGGAAGAAATACGACGTCCAGGAGACTTCGTCCCAGCTATTCGTCTCCAAGCAGTTCACCAAGACAGTTGCCTCTGGTGGCTCTAATACAAACAGGGGACTTGTTGTAAGTTAGATGGTCTTCTAAACGCTGAGTCAGTGGGTCTGGTATTAATCATATGAAACAGCGTCCGGTCGAATGGATTTTGTGGCGTCCTAACAGAGAGACTGGTATCATCATCATACCCGAAGAAGCCGAACTCCTTCTTCCAGTGCTGCGAGGCGAAAAACAGCCAGTTGTCTGGCTGTTGAGCTACTCCGCCCCACTAACTAGATATATGTGTATCTTCAACAGGTTGAACTTTTTTACAGTGCCCTCTCCGCCCAACCGAGAATTCAAGGTTCCTCGATGGATGACTTTGGAGGTTGGAATTGTTTCTGCACGCCTCTACTTTGGATGGCTTGAATATAAGGGGCTACTAGCTTGGTTAGGCATGACCAAGGGTGCCAAGGGTGAAGGGACCGCCAGTCAATGCGGCGGACTGTATCCTGCAGAAGCAAGGAAATTTTTGCTCGATTGGCTGAGCCACTGTCACAACACTTTCAACATACTTCATACTCCAGTCGGCTTTGTGGCGCAAGGCAAGGAGTTACGCCATGATCACTCATTCTTCGGTGCCTCTTCACTGGATCAAGCTGATGTGGCAGCCGCTACGCAAGAAAATGGCTTTGTTTCCTCCAAGCGTGTGGGCAGGGGCCTGGACGGCGCCCTTGATGATGATAGCGATGACGATAGCGATTGGGGGATTCAGCAGGGTGATCAGGGAGAGGACGAAAGCTCTTCTGAGGAAGATTCTGACGCAATGGATGTGGACGACAGCGAGGAGAGCGCAGGGGATGCGATGAGCATTAATGATGAATTTTGATGTGTTGGCTTCAGATCTTGGTCATAACGGTCTTGTTTATTGGCGGAGGTTTTATTGGCGGAGGTTAGCCTGGTAAATGTCTGGATAATTCAGTTTGAATCTTGATCAATGTTTGAAATTGTACTATGACTGGTCCCCGCGCTTGGCTGCTCGATTGATCCGCGCGAATTGGGCTAGCAAGAGCAAGGAATGACGCCTTGCATACTTACGATGTGCTTTTGAGCCGGTACGGGTTGTGTTGCACTACGGGTGAACTGATGGGGGTTTGATTAATCTTGATGCGGGGATCGACAATAATTTGAGCAAAGGGTAGCTTTTTCATCTTGCATGCTTCAGAAGCGCGCTCCTTTCCGCGGCACCACATTAGTCCAACCACTAAATTTTCTCCGAGGGCATCCACTTGCAGGTAAGGTACATTCACAAGAGAGCGGAGTGATGTGGTGAGATGATGCTTGTCGTTGAAACAGAGTGGCCAACGGCAGTGGTTCGGTCACGTGGTGGCGGTCTTGCAGTCACCACGTGACGAGCCAAAAACCGTCTGCGCGCCTCGGCTTTTGGAGAAGGGGTAGAGATGGGGTAAATGCGGAGAGGCAGGGCATGGCGGCTCTGGTCTCACATGATCAAGATGTTTGGGGGAGATTACCTATGTACATTGAAGCTGCCTGCATGGGCATTTCCCCGTTTGGGGTCAATGGTATCGAGTTCGTCGTAGGCCAACTGCCGAGCTGAACACCGCTGTGGCGGTCGTCGGTGGGCTCTGCTGGTCCCGGTGAACCTGGACGACGTGTTCTCTCTCGTATGATTTCAATCAGTGGCTTCGGCAGCATCAAGGCTATATTCGCAACGTGTTTGGGAATAATTTACTCGCTCAGGATGCCTTCGCACTAGAGGGCTGAAGATGGGCCAAGAAAAGGGGGACAAGAGAAGAAGATGCTCGCGAGCTGATTGGTTCCTACATGCGCTTGCTGACGGAGCGAGCCATGCGGATATTACCAGCACTAGCCGCCTTCGTATCGCTTCCGGCGTTGTCCCCGTTGAGCTGGCTGCCTTCTGTTCTCTACCTACGTAGTAGCAAACGTTCCACACAGCGTCTGCAGCTTGTGGTGGGCGCCCGTCTTTAGCCCCTGCGCGAGCCAGGCGGGAACCAGCGCTGACGTAGCGGCGCGTTTCCGCAGCTTCCGGTGAGTCACTCACGATATCTGCTGCCAGTGTACGGCGTGCACCCCAGCTCTGACACCACACATCCCACGACAACTAGTGGAGTGCAAGTAAGGCAAACAAATCCATGCAGCCGATCAGCGTAGGACCCTGGATCTGGATCTCTCATGGCCTGGAGCTCCTCTCACTCGGCCGAGAGACCCGCTTGCCACTCCCACCCCTTTCTGACAACCCTACCTGGTGGCATTGATGCTGATTATCACGAGCCAGCCTGTTGGCCTTCTCGCGGTGGCCGCGCACACTTACGGCGCTTTGGGTGGGACATCACAGAGCCGCCTACCAGACCCAACTGTGAGCAGCACCTCGGCGCCCGGGATGCCTCCTGTTCCCTGCTCTAACGTTTGATACTCCGTACCACTCATTCTTCGGAAGCTAGGAAGGGAGCTAGATAATACGCAGCAGCGCGCTATTCCCCACCAGGTTTGAGCCACAGCGACGCCCAAGAAGCAAAGAGGGCCTGGAGGTTACACAGCATCGGCTATATGCGCCGTCTCGCCAGACACACCGTGTGTGTATGGAAGGCGTTCGTGAGCGCCCATTTCAGGCCACAAACCAACGATCCCCAGACCTCACCTCGTGTACACTCAGGCAGGACGCAAACATTGAAGCCAGGCAATCTAGGTAGTTGAATCCATGGCTCCCTATACACCTGATATTAGTGTTAGCTTCTGACCTTGCGCTCTGAAGCTTCCCACGCCGGCACAGTGCCCATATCTGGCGGCTTCGTCCTGGCCCCTTGCCGTTCGCTACCTCAGCACAATGTGATATGTCATTACCCAGCTCGTCGCGGCCTGGGCCAACAAGCCTCACATCCCGCAGCGCCAAGTTGAGCCGGAATGTAGTCCCTGGTCGTATTCTTGCCATTGCTTGTCCATCTAGTATTCTAGAAGAGCCACCCCTCCACTGGAGAGCTGGAATGGCTGAAACGACTGGCCACGGCTTCATCATGCGGTGCAGCCACCCGTCTGAGCGGTCCCATTCCGTCACATGCCCTGCTTTGATCAGCGGTCAATAACACGTAGCGGATTGACGGCACGAACGGACGTCTGAGGTGCTGCTAGCTCAATGTCGTGGGTAGGGACGGTCTCATGCGACGCCTATATATGTCCAGCTTCCTACCTTGACTCTTCTCGACCTTTTCTCCCTCCTATGTCCTACATCAAGAAACATTCCTTCGGTTTTTCTTAGCCTTTTGTTCCTCACTCGTCCTGGATCAAGCAACGCTCCCTCGAGTATCTTTGCATCCCTATTCATACAGGAAGGATTACATCCGACCTAGTATCGACGGCAAATCATGGCCGACATTGCCACTTTGCATGAGTGGTTATGTCTTGTCAGCCGACTGAATGGGTTAACGCCCTTGCAAGCCTCCGCCTGTCGTCTAGAGAGACAGCATCAAGCCAACCATGGCTCCCGAAGAGACCCGTGCAGGCGATGTGCCTTTTTATGGCTTCGTCTCCATTACGCGTAAGAGTCCTTTTTGGCAGCCAATGGTAATTAAAGCCGAGTACTAATGGATCCTTGGCTACTGAAGAGCATATAATTGCGCAAGCGAGATCCCCCGTGAGGGTCTTAGTCGTCACGAGGCGGACTTTGCGGACGTGGTCACACTTAACCTTGCAGTCACAATAGGATATTTCGTCGAAAATAACAGTGAAATGTTCGCGGTCGACGGCGGGGAGGGGCCCGATCGAAGAATCGCGATTCACGACCTGCTTCGACTGGATGGCGAGAACGAACTCCCTAGTGATTTTGAGTGGGCGTTCAACTAGGAAGGGTTTATGGCGATACGAGAGGGAATGGAGTCTCTCCAGCTGCTTGGGTCAATCCAGTCTTTTTTTTTCCCTTATTACATAACGGAATTGGGGAATACAGAAGGAACACGAGACAAACTATTGACTGATATTTGAATAGTAATGACATCTTCTGGGCCACATGCAAACATTCCCTTTGTCATTTCCACCTTTCGTTGGATGAATCAAGCAACCCCCACATCTCCTCCCTCCCAAAAGAAAGAAAGAAAGAAAGAAAGAAAGAAAGAAAGAGAGAGAGAGAGAGAGAAAATAATGGGCTATGCTCACGCCACCGTCGAAAGCTTAGAGACACTGCGTTTGATTGAATTTAGCTTCTAAGATGACGCTTTACTTAAGATCTAATGTGTATCGCTAGCTAAGGTCAGTTATATACCTCCCTGGTTGTTGCGCTGCCACGATACCTGGTTAGGTTAGATATAGTGACTCTAAGGATAATATGACAACGGTGCCATGAGCATAGCCCGAAAACAATGATAGGAAAAGAGTAATACGAACAAGGGTAGCATTCTAGTAAACCATAATTATAAGGAATTTCTTTTGGGCAGAGAAGTAATTGATTCCTATTCACCAACATCCACGCTTTGATAAATTCTTCACCATTAGTCGACGCGTTCACTATTTAAACCCTCACATGAACTGGCAAAATTAACATCCTTTTCCATCAACGGCAGCAGAATCATCAGACACTACTGAACTCGCTCGATTAAATCCAAGGATACCGACGTTTTGAATCACAAATCATGGCTCAGGCAATGGACACCAAAGTGCCAACAGAGAGTACACTGTCGAGCGCTGAAGTCTCGCAATACCTCCACCGAGATGTGCAAAATGAAGCTGCACTGGCCGTCCTGGCAGCTGCCTATCCGGAAAGGACAACCAGCTTGATACGTTACCGCGGCGAGTTCGCAAGGTGTTTCGAGATTATCAGAGATAGAGGAGAAGCTACGTGGACATCAGAGACCCTGGAAGCCGCGATAGCTCTTCAGCCGGCCATTGACTACTATACGGAGGAGCTGCCCCGTGAGCTCCTCCTCCTGCCACCCTTTGCCGAAACGAAGACGAGCACAGATTTTGGCCCCTTGCCGCCGGTGGCTGACTTGGACTTGCACCGGTTTCAACGTGCTCTGTACCGGTTCGACTCGACATGCCCTCTTACCAGTCACCCAAACCATTACGTCTCGATCCATTATTATCATGACAGAGAGGCGGTGTCGCCCTATTCTGACGTGGAACTCAACCAAGTCAGCATGCTGCGTGAAATGCTTTTCTATCGGATGTCTCAAGGTATGTATCCAGTACCCTTCTGTTGTGGTCATCTAACTAACCGATGGTTTTGAAAAGTCTGCGGAAAGTACTTGGACAGCGTAGGGAAGCGTCAAGGTAGACCCGATCGGCAAGACCGGAAGTTCCGCGACAAGAATACCATTCATGGCATCATGTCTCACGGCCTGCAATTCATGTACGAACTTGAAATGCAAACCACCGATAAGGGCATAGAGGAGGTTCTCCAGAGAGTCAGTCTTGCTGGTCGCTGGAGTGGGCCCCAACCCCGCAAAAGCGGGCTTTCAGAAGAACTCTGCATCCTACGGCGCACCCTTGACGAACGTCTTGGGTACAAGCCACGTGGCTGTGGAGAGCATGAGGGTCGAGAATGCTATGAGGAGGAGGTTCGGTTCAGAAATAAGAGCGACTCCAGGAGCCGGGAAAATTACTCAAAACAGACGGATTTAGGAACATGGGAGATGTTAAAAGCCATTGCGACTTGGTTTCAACAGTCGGCATCAGGCAGCCCGGAAGAGACGGCGGCTGAAAGAGCCCGAACCCGCCAGGTTACAGAAGACGTCGGCACTTGTATAGGTCAAATACATCAGAGGTGGGGGGTGCCACGGGTGCCAGCTGAACAGATTCGATCCGGGAACTCCAGCGGCCCGACATCAGCTTACTCAGAACTGACGGAGGATGAAAAATCGGCGAAGTTAGAATCCATTGCAGCTGAGTTAAAACAGTCGACATCAGGCCGCCCGGAAGAGACGGCGGCTGAAAGAGCCCAAGCCCGCCAGTTGACAGAAGACTTACGCACTCGCATAAGTCAAATGAAACAGAAGCAGAAGGTGCCACGGGTGCCAGCTGAACAGATTCGATCCGGGGACGCCCATCCTGCCGGTGACGACTAGATCGCTCGGCTAGTCTTGGCCAATGTTTCGGAACATAGTTTGAAAGCAATCGTGGTTGGCTTCCTTAAGAAGGCCAATATACCCACTCATAATCTGATTAGTTATAACTCATACTTGTCTTATGTCTACCGCTTTTAACCAGTAAACGAGCTTCATACAAAGGAGACGTGAACCTAAGAATGGATTCTAGCTATAAGCACTTCCCGCTTTTCTTTTCCCCAGACGGTGAATTTAAGCTGCTAGATTAGGCCCTGTAGTAAAACGAAAAGTGGATGAGCTTCAGCGATGGGCATCAAACCTAGCGTTAGTAGATTCTCAGGTTAGTGGTATACAGATTAGATAGTTCAAGTATAAAGTAAAACCTAGTAATGAAGATTCCAGATCCGACATCCCAACGCAATTAATATCAGGTTAAGGGTATTTTCATGAAATAAGACCAATCTCCACCTTCAAAAGGTATTCTAGGCCCGGTGAGGTGCCATGGCAAATAGAAAAGACCTTCAACCTGATAGGAGTAGAGACAACATCAAGGATCCCCGTCTCTTTCATCGTAAATCATGGGGGAAGATATCAACACCAACCGGCCGGCACAGATCTTCCCATCAAGCCCTGAAGTTTCGCAATGTATTCACCGAGGTTTTGTTCTATTATACCCGGTGGGCGAGCACTTTTGCCGGTATCCTCTTCCAAGTGCTTCAGCCCGTTGCCCACCTGACGAGTTGGCACTAAGGAAGGGCTGATAAAGCCGACTGATGCAGTGGGAAAGGCGACGCAGAATGCACTTGTCATCATGTTACCCGCTGCTATACCAAAAGCTAAGCTGCGGCAAATGCCTGGGCGGTATCAGAGTACCACGATGGTTTGTTTCGCTCGCGCAAGTAAGCCCTTTAACTACCTCTGTTGATGTCTCTGGGCAGAATGACAGAGTGTTAGGTGTGCCAACTGAATACCACGCTGGTATGATACCGTGGCAAAATCTCATGTAAATCGGGTAGAGCATTGTGACAGCACCTATAGGTCCTTTCAGGGAGCCATAGTAATTCTACCATCTTGAACTATTCGACTACGATGGCCGGATGACATGTACTAGAGTCGAGCCTCGGAGATCATTTTGTAAGCACTTGCTTGTCGCGGGCATCAGCACGTATAATTAGCCCAATACAGCAGGCGGGGATCTGGTTTGAGAACTAATCCCCAAGGATGCACGCTTTCCGTGTCGCCCTCAGAAGTATTGCACAGATGGCGAGCTCTCTTTCGCCATGGCAGCCACGAGCCTATGCTCTCATATACTTGTGTCGCTTATCGACGTGGTAAGTCCGGTGGGGATGACTGGCACTGCCTGAAGCTGTTGGGGGCAGAATAAATGAAGCTGGAATAGGGCCCAGCGGCTAGATACGCGTATCAACAGTGGCTGTAGCTGATTAGCTCGTCTCTAAATTTACCATCTCGCATTTGGCTGACACTGGGGGAGCCAAAGTGGGTGAGTTCAGCCAGTTAACTCATGAGCCGGCCGCCGTCCTGTCTCGTCTTACTTCAATTACCGCCGGTAAACTTGTGTACCAGACAGGCCTCGGCCAATGCCGCCAGTCAGAATGGCTGAAATGTGTGCTGATCGATCAATCATAATCGAGGATTGGCAAACTCAAGCGCCATGGCCAGCACCCGCAGAAGTGTCGGGGCTGAAATGCCCCAGGAGGACCATTTCTGACCTACTGCAGGCCCGAGAGGCGCCAGTGTATTATTAGTTACTGTCTATCCGAAACAAGGTGGTCAGCAAGGAGCCAGGGGTGGTCTCAACCGCCATAATCAGCAGTCAGCAGCATATTCTCCGGCTCAGCATAGACCTAATTAAGATTTAAATCCATTCTACTGATTACAAGGCATCGGGACTGGCGCTTGCATAGCCTGCTCATGCATTAGCAAGACATTAGCGAGCTACGAAGAGGCTGGGCAAGCCCCGACGATCCGCCTCTCCCCCAACGCATTAATAAGTGGCTGCCCTTTCATCGTCATTCAGTGCGTGACGAGCCTGACATTTACGCTCAGCATCTTTCCTTTCCATCCTTCATCCAATCGACTCAGCATGCACCAGTCTTTCTACGCCTATAATCTCACACGGCCGTACCCCTACAGGTGGTTCACGCCGGTCCTCATCATCGGGGGTATTATTTTCACGACCCTTTTTTCATTGCTCAACGTGGCCACCAATGGCTACGAACTTACCGCCAAATCGACCTCGGATCCCAATTCCACCCTAGTTGAGAGAGACTGGCTCAGCTCCGTACCGTCCTTCCTCAGAGGAGTGCGCTCACAGTGTGACAGCACCATCATACCACTACAGAGCCTACTAAAAACAAACAACTCGGCCTTGCCGTACACAGTCGACAGAGTGTGGAGAAGAACGGAAGGGGGCGGGAAAGAGACTCTGGGATCCTTGGTGTATCATAACCAGCCGCTGCAAGAGTGCCGGGTCATTTTTGTCGAGACCAACATCGAGGTCCAAACTCGCTCGGCATCACAGCTAGCCAGAATACCTGTCGGAGGAGCGGTGGAAACTAGGGTAGAGTGCTTCTTCGAGAGTGAAGATGGCCGAACCTTCCTCCAGCTCTCGTCCGTCTACGACCCTATTCCAACCTCGAACAGCTCAGTGCAGTACTTCCTGTATAGCAGCCCGACCAAGCAAGCCAACCTATACTGGGGGTCGTGGTTGATGCGTATCTACTGGGCAGACGTTATGCGAAACTTTGCCAAGAAGAACAGCGACGAGAAGAACAGATGGATCAGCGCCAACCTCCAAGTCAAGTATTCGTCAACCAGGCCCGAGATCACGGACGACGATATGAAGAACCCCGACTTTTCTACGTCTCGTGCTTCTTCAACAGAAAAGGCGACGGTGCGGCCCGGGGCGATTTCGACTTCGATGTTTGCAGCAACGGCAATAACAACATCACGGCTCTGAGCAGCGGCAGCGCAGGGGCGCTGGAGATGCCGGACTTTTGGTCCTCGTACAATGTCCTATCCAAGGCCATGTACTACACCACGCTGGCCGACCTCGGCCGCGACGACAAGTCCGTCCCAAACCTGCTCAGCCGCCGCGCGCTGGTCGAGGAGCTGAGCCGGGACCTGAACAAGACCCGGCAGGGCCTGGCTCCCGCGTGGCAATGGGGCATCGGCCCCGAGTTCCCGAGCAGCAAGGCCTTCTCCGCCGCGGACTACTCCGACGCCGACATGCAGGTGACGCCGTCGGTCCTGGCCTCGACCTATCTCTGCAAGGTGCGCAGGCTCAAGGACCCGGCGAGGCTCGTCATGGCCGTGCTCGTGTCCAACCTCGTGTTTCTGAGTGCCCTGTGGGCGGCTTACATCTGGATCGTCGATGTGTTCCTGCTGGGCAGGGCTACCGTCCTGGAGCTGGATCCTCGCCCGGCGCAGGGCAACGGGCGGGCGTCTCCCGCTTCCATGTACGAGACGGAGATGACGCCACTGAAACCCGAGTTTCAGAAAGGTGTCTCGGGTGGCAGTGCTTCGGTGGACGACTTTGGGAGGATTACGAGGTAGTCTTTAGGTTGGCACCCGCGTTCTGGGTGTTTCTTCACCATAAAAGAAATTATTTCTACCTTGATCATCCAAACCCTGCTATGTAGTTCGGACGTAGCTTGATGTTTTATTAGGAAATTGTCTCAAGACGTTGACTATGGCGTCCACGTGGTAACATGGTAGATAAAATTAGAGCATTGATTTAGCTAAAAATGGTGTGAATGCTGTTATGCAATTCTCTACAAGCTTGGAAGACACCAAGGATGGACAAGCATGGCCCTAGGAGACAATAGCCCTTTGGACCTTATCATCCTTTCGATATATCACGAGTGATGTTCTGAATGATATACTATCCTTATGTTTCTAAGAATGCCTCTTTATAAAAAGGTTCATTGTAGCCATGGAGTGTTTTTGTGGACATACACTTCTCTCATTGAGTATTTCTTGGTGATAAATCTTTGCATTAATCCGCAAAAGCTTAGACCGATGGATCTTTCTCGTGAGTTTGAACAGTCTGACCACCTTGGAAGAAGAATTCGATGGCACAAAGCTAAAGAACCCATCTTTTTAGAACGGTATTGAGGAATCATGAATGCATTGATTGTTTGAGATAGAAGGTAACAATTGCGTCTCTGCTCAATCAAGCGTCCATCAATTATCAATAATCGTTTTGTTTTCTTCGCCATCGGTTTCGTAGTGGGAGAATTCATGGATCAGTCCGTGTTGAAGGGAGTCAAGCATAGCTCCCAGGGGATGGCTGTATACGCCATGAACCTCACTATGCTCTCATTCAATTCTCATCTTCCAGCTGTATGCTGAATAATTTCTAGCGTCAGCCTGAAAAGATGACAATATTGTGGCTGTGAGGCCATGCTTATGAGAGAAACCAGCGCTATGGCCAATCTTGCTCGAGTCATGTCGAGTCTAGGGTAGCAGATCATCAGGAATGCGCCACCTGACTGGGCAATTGATTTTGCCAGCTCAGCCACAACAACAATGCCTCGCTCATCCATCATCACGACCTCTGCTGGTCTGACGCTGCCGTAATACCAAGCCAGTAAGCACACGGACTCTGATCCCGAGCGCAGAGCCCACCCGAGCATGAGTGAGCCCACCTTCCCCCAATTCGGCCAACTTCCGCAGGAGCTGCAGTCGGCAATCTGGGACGTAGCCGTTCGGCCTGTGCCAGCACCCGCCGCTCATCGATTCATCATCCACGGCCAGGGCTTTCTGAACCGGACCATCAAACTGAGCTCGATCAAAGGCAGCCCTCTGAAGCTCGGCACAGCCTACACGCTCCTTGTGCCGTGGGACAACAATGACTCCGTTTATGCTCTGGGGAGCGCCCTCTGGAATACCTCGACTGCATCGCGGGCCGCCATGCTGAGGCGGTACAAGAGGAATGAATGGTGGGCAGACGCGCACACAGAGCACCCTGGCCAATTGCCAAAGCAGCTCGCAGGACGCGGCCACTATGGCGATGAGGGCGGGGCAGCGCACACCGCGTCATACACCGACCCAACGACCGGGGACCTGCGATACATCACTTTCCTTGGTGAAGACCTAGTCCATCTTGATCCCTTGGGAGTCGACTCTGTCGATTGGTTTCACCACTATGCTTCAGATAATCTGCCCTTGATCAACTACCGAGGGCTGGACCACTCCACGTCGGAGGCGGGCTTTCTCCCCTTGAACATTGCCATCGACTACGACCCGGCCATGCTACATCTCATGGAGGGCCGCCCCGTTCATCGATGCGACGGGCCTCTGAAGATGTCGCAGCCCGGCATCCTGGACATGGTCACCTTGCTACACGAGCTGGCGGGTAGGAGCCTCTGGTTCATTGATCATCGTCTCAAGAAGCGCGTGGTCGATTCCACAGTAGCTCCGGTCCCGTCCAGCCAACCCCCTGCCATCCAGAAGATAGTGGACGATGAGAGAAAGAAGTTCTACGCGAATGATGCCGTCTACGTTGAGGTTCGACGCGATGATATGCACCTATGGGAGATAGACGCGGACGAAAGCTCCCCGTTTGAATTTCTCGACAGCCTGAGCAGCAACATCGAGGATTTATCGAGGGTGAAGATACTGGCTTGTCAGATGGCGCCGGGAGAGCCGTCCAGAATGAAACTCCCTGAGAATTCGGGGTGCGATGTCTGCGATCCACCTCGTCCAAGAAGAATGAGGCCGCGCGATCCTCCGCCTGATGAATCCGATGGCGATTCAATTACGTCGGCCGATCTGAATCTCTTCGACTGAGGTGATGCAGGGAGAGGGTCGGTCTTTCCAGCACTTGTTGGGAACAAAGATGGCAACAGTAGCAAGGTTGAGACAGATTGAAATCTGTAGTACAAAATTTGATAATCATAATGTCAAGAGCTGGGAGACTTTCATATACATAATTTCACGTGCTTCGGTTGAAGTGATTGAGATGTGGTTGATCGTGCCATCCATGTCAAAGCCAATCTGCATCGGCAAAGTGTAGGGTGAAGATGAAGACAAGGGATCGGAACAAGAAAATAACGCTCGAGACCATAGATGTTGCAAATCATGCTCCTACCAATGGCCCGAAATTCAGATCCGAAAACCGGACCGGCCGGCGTGATCTGATGGCCCGGTGACGTGCTAGTTGGAGATAATCGCTAGATCAAACCCCGTTATGGCGTGATCAAGAGCCTCTCAAACGTTATCATCAACATGGATGCAGGAAGAGGGGATCTCCACAGTGAGAACGATGAATACCTGGTGTGTCGCTGATTGAGTATCGTATCATCTCGGTTTCCCGTTGTTGAATCCTAAAAAATATCTCACCCGTAATCAGATCACGACAAGAGAGGCGCTACTAGTGAATATCTCTTCATAAGACAAAATGGCACCGCATTCTGTCGATGACAGCGCTCTACCAGAGCAGCCGAAGCCAGCTACTACGAAGACGCACAATCCGTTCGCCTTGCCACTCAGGGAAAAGCCACTCCCAAGGTCTACGCTCCAAATCCCGGACAGATTCATCGATGAACCTGATCGTCTTCGGGTAGCTGTTATTGGTGCCGGCCTCACGGGCATCGAGGCGGGTGTCTTACTTCCTGCCAAGGTCCCTAATATCGATCTGGTGATATATGAGAAGAATGCCGACGTGGTATGCATCGCTCACTTGAATTCATCACAATGCGGGTGCTGATGTTTCTAGGGAGGCACGTGGTTTGAGAATATTTATCCCGGCGTAAGGTGCGACATTCCAGCGCATGTGTACCAGAGCAGCTATGAGCCCAACACACAATGGACAGAGGAATTTGCGCAGGGCCCCGAGATTCGAGCGTGAGTAGTTCCAAGAGTAAGCAAATAGTGTCCCCTTCTTCTAACACTCTGTCTATCGTTAGATACTGGCAAAAGATCGCCGAGAAGTACGGGGTGTACGAACACATCAAGTTTGGTCACAGAGTGGACGAAATATCCTGGAATGAGGGCACATTCGAATGGACGGTTGAGGCCCATGACTTGAAGAACGCCTCCACGATATCGGCCAACTTTGACTTCGTTATCACGGCCATCGGCCGCTTCAACGCTTGGCGTCTGCCAGACTATCCAGGAATCTCCGATTTCAAAGGTCTCCTACGCCATACGTCAAACTGGGACCCAACCTTTGATCCATCTGGCAAGAAGATTGCCGTCATTGGAAACGGGGCGAGTGGCATCCAGCTTGTGGCTAACATCCAACCTCGAGTCGCATCTCTAGACCATTACGCCCGGAATAAAACAGTGAGTAGCGTACACTGATCATGACCGTACTTGGCTAATCAGGTATCTATTCAAGTGGGTGGCCAAGTCATTCGCAGGCGATGAGACGGACATCAAGCCCAAAACTATCCCACAGGAGCTGCGGGATTCTTTCAGCGACCCAGACGTCTACCTCAAGTACAGGAAAACTATCGAGGGAAAGTACTGGAGGGGGTTTCAGAACAACTTCAAGGGGTCCCAGGGACTTGAAAATACCACCAAAGAACTCATAGACGTTGCCAAGGAGAGGACGGCGAGCAAACCGGACCTATTTGAAAAGCTCATTCCTGACTTCCCACCTCACTGCAGGAGATTGACACCTGGCCCTGGGTACTTTGAAGCCATCACCTCGGATAATGTCAACTACGTCCAAGATCGCATCAAGCGATTCACCGAGACGGGGATAGAAACCGAGGACGGAACACATCGAGAGGTGGACGCCATCTTTTGCGCGACTGGGGCAAACGTCGATATGGTTCCCCCGTTTAACATCCGCGCGTTCGGTCAGAATCTCCCAGATCTCTGGCGTGAAGGCGGAGCTCACGGTTTCCCATATAGCTACCTCGGGATAGCCACGCCCGGGTTCCCCAACCTTCTGTTTCTCCTCGGGCCCAACGGGGCGGGCAAGTCTGGAAGCGTTCCGCACGCTGTCGAGGTGAATGTGACCGTCGTGGCCAAGATTCTGCGTAAAGTTTCCAGGGAGGGGATCAAGGCCATCGCCCCATCTCAAAGAGCAACTGATGACTTCGTGCAGTATGCAGATGCATTCTTCAACCAGACTGTCTTATCAGAGGACTGCAGCTCCTGGTACAACAGCGGAAAAGCTGGAAGCCGAATTCATGGACTCTGGCCAGGTAGCGGGGCACACATGAGCGTTGTTCACAGGGATCCGCGCTGGGAAGACTGGGTATACGAGTACAAGACACCGGAAAATCGGTTTGCTTGGTATTTCGGGAAAGGGTATACCGCTCAGGAGGTTGATCCCGAGTCTGATATGACGGAGTATCTGTCGAAGCCTGGCCCTGTAGATCTGAGAGGACTGTATGAGCAGTGGTGGAGGATACACTAGGTGTGAAATCTGGGTTGTAGATATCAAGCCAACACAATATACACTTAAATCTAAATTGTGGTCCTATGAAAATGGACTGACGTGAACGATCCTTGCATAATAGACTACCTGCATACCTGGATCTGTCCACCGCGCGTTGTGGCAGGTTGGGCCGAGCGCGGCAAGTAACCGCCTCGGG